GTAATTTTCGTTTTTCGCTTTTTTTGGGAAGAAAATATCTATACAAAAAATAACGTAGAATTATAAAAAACGGCTCAATAAAAATTTTTCTCTGACCGCTCTCCAAATTTCACGCACACTCTCGTTTACAAAGATTGTTGAATATCTCAGCTTAGTCTGTAAAGAAAGCTCAAGGATTTTCATTCATTGAAATGTGAGGTAAATACTTAACAACATGCCTGGAATACAACTGCATTTTGCATCGACAATCTTGCTAAGAGCCCACCCATCAAGCGTCCGCTTATCATTCAAGCCAACTTCTGTCTGTTTAACATTTTTTATCTATCTTTCGCTACTTCTTTTGTCTCCAATGACTGCTCGTAAGAGCTATTGGTTGATCATTTGCCCCTGGAATCTCTGCTTTTCGGTTTTACACTTGTTTAAAAGTATTTTCGGAACCTTATACTATATAACAGAAAATGTGGATAATTGAATCATAAAGTTTTTTTCGGCAAAATGCTGTGTCAAGGGCCGCTCAATGAGGTCATCGGGACACCTATGACTTCTTGAATTATTTTTCAAACTTTATTTTTTGGCTTTTTTCCAAGTAACTTTTGAGTTCCACAACGAAAACCTGATTTCTTGGCACTCCGTTTTTCAAGCGCAAATAGGGTGCTTATTGCCTCAAGTAGCCTTTTACAACCCTAAAGCTTGTATTCTAACCATAAAATCGAATTTCTAAAGGTCCCATCGCGAAACCCTGATTTCTTGGCATTCTGTTTTCTTCACTCTAAACAAACTTATTTTGATTTTAAACTCTTTATTTAACCTTTCTTAGACCATACATAAATTAAGTTTGCTCACACAAAATTAAAAATTGAATGTCCCACCACGAAACCTTGAATTCTTGGCATTCCATCCTATCACCTTTAACCCTTTCCACACATCATTCTGACCCCATTTTTATCAAATATCCGTCAATTTTGAGCGCGACGCCACTCTATTTCTCCATTCTCGTGATAAGCCGCTGTCATTTCTTGGCATTGTGCACCAAATAAAAATTTAAATCCAAATGTAATTTTCTCGGAATTTCAGATTACGTGACCCCTTTCGCTCGAAAATAACAGCCGTCTGGGCGGGTTAAAAGCAGGATCCCCGTGCTGTCTTGAATTACAGTCCTAATCCGCGAATTTGATTTGCAACCAGAGAACCTTGTTGCCATACCCCCAGGGGATTAGTGAGATGAGTTTGGGGCAAAAAACACAATGAGAGGATTTGAAAGAGAGGCTTTATGAATTAGAGGGGTTGTAATAGTGATGTGGAGAGTTACAAAATTTCAATGAAACAGCTGAATTCAAAAATAAAATTGTTTTCTGGCAATACGTCAGTTTGAGATCGGTATAGCTCAAAGCAACTTGGTTTAGATCCTTGAGAAACTTTGGCTGTTTACTCTAGATACAACGAAAATTATACACTGTGAATATTGGATTTTATATTCTAGCCAAAGCCGAGATATTAGAATTAATGGGGAAGTACCTCATGCGCGACGGTCAGAATCGAAAAGTTGACACTTTTTGCCGAATTTCGGCACGAAAAGTTTCATGCCCATTCCTACCATAGAGAATAATGTTTCCACAAAAAAATAAATTTTTTCACAAGAAACTGGTAAAGATATGGCCAAAAAGTGTTTTTTTTTGTCTGACCGCTCTCTGCGTTTCACGTACTCTCTCGGCGGCAAAGATCGTTCAATATCTCGGTGGCGCTTGCTAAGCGCGAGCTAAAACTTTCAGGATTTGATACTTAGTTTATGACGTACGTGTGTGGAGAATTTAAAGAAAATCTGAGTGTTGCAATTGGGGTACTTCCTTGTTAACGATATTTGAGGGTGTGTACCGTCGAGTTCCGGCATTTCGGTCAACATAATTTTGCACAGAATAGGACAGTCACTTCGCGGAGGGCTCAAATGGTTGTTGAAGCGGCCTACGTGGCTTGGCGAAGCCTTTGAAACCTCTGCGAACCTCGGCGAAGGCTTGGCGGAAACTTGGCGTAGACCTACAACATTCCTACCTTTTATAATTTTAACCATAGCCAACTTTTTAATCATATATCTACCTTCAAGTATGTCTTACGTCATTAAATTTTCATTCTAAGCTCCTCGTAAAGTCTCCTCAAGATATGCCAACCGTATTCCCCTTCATTTCACCTGTTATGACCAGAAAACTTTATTTTTTGTTTTTCAAGGTCAATATTGTAATGTTACGCCGATTTTTCTTGGTACCTTCAACTTTCCGAAAATCCCCTAAAATCTCTTCCTTGTTTGCTCAGATGCAAGGATAACTGGAATAGTTTAAAACAGCCGATTTCTGGGCTCACCGCTGGGATATTATATAGCATGATAAGCGAGGGAAATTTTTACGTGGAATTTTTGAGGAATTTTTAATTTTTTTAAGTTTATGACGATTCAAGAGGTAAAATATGATGTGAAATTTCATTTTAGTTGTTTTTTGTCTTTGGAAATATCTAAATGAGGCCAGAAAATTAGTTTTTGGGGTGAAAAACGATCAATTTTTCCTAATGACTGTATAAAATTTCAAAATTTAAATAAAAGAAAATTATTTTTGGAAAGTTTATGGGTAGAAAATTCGGCTATATACTGGGGGAGAATCAGAAAGATCGTATTTTAAAATTTTTTATTGACAGAAGCCCCTAAAATTTATAAATAAGCGTTGAAAATCGCAACCTTTCCCACTTTTCTCCGAGGCATCGTAAATTGTCGCCGATTATCGCTATTTATCCTTGTTGGAAATTGTCTACCGAGGTTGCTGATACATCCTCCAATCTTTAGGATTGCTTACGTAGTAACAGCATTATTTTTTAACTTCGTATTTTACATTTATTTTCAAAAAAACCCTAAAAAATCCGAAAATTTTGCAACTTTCCCAAAATTCCCGCAATTTTTGTTAATTCCTTGAACTCTCCGCCTCGCTACGACCTTTAAAAGTCTTCCACGGACTGTCTTAAATCCCCAATTAGACTCCCAAACCCTTTGCGGAACACTCAAACCGCAGAGAGATCGCTCTTTGCGACAATTGCGAGGTGTTTGATCTTCGGAGATCGTAAACGCCCAGCTCCCGTTTCGAACAATCTTTGAAACTTGTGGCTGTTGAGGACCGTCGCACTTGGCTTCTTCGTTCCAGACACATGTTTGGCGGGGAGGACGGCCTCGTGACGCGTTTCAAGGCCCGATTGTCCATGGCCGTTTTGAAGGGGTTCTTGACGGGAATTGAGTTAGAAAAAAGGTCAAGCACAGCGGTTTTTTTATTCGATATAGAAAGATCTTTGTCCAATGTTGTGCGTACAATGTAACTAAGCCACTTACATTTCTTTTGGATGTCATTTTTGAAGTTTTTTTTGGGGAGACACTGAAAAGCCTTGGAAAATTTTGATTTTTGATTAAATTCATTACTTTTCATGAGTTTATTAGTCAGAAATACTATCTTAAATTGTTGCTGAGGCTTTCTACTTTAATTTAAGATCAAAATTCTCCCATTATTTTAACTTTTTCATATTGATTTTCCCAAAAATTCCAGAAAAACGGTTAAAATTTCCCATTTTCCCCGATTTTTCGCCTTTTCACTTTTGCACTAACAAGTAGTAGCACTTTAAGTTGATGTTTACCACTTTTAATTCAATTCACACCCAATTAAAATCAATTTAAAGCCGTTTCCTTCGAGAAGTACGTACTTTTAAATGACGAACTTGCTTGTCCCCCCGTCCGTTCACTATCTCTTCTCAAGTTTCACTTCCAAATCTCAAATTCCGGGTCCCTGCTGCACTCAAATTCTGCGATTAAATTTGAGGCTTTTTTGAATAAAAGATAAAAGGTTTTTTGGACAAAATTTTTTTTTATTTTTTGAGATTTTTGAATTTTTTTGTCGATTTATGCAAGTTTTCGTTAAAAAATATTGTAAAATATCAGCCAGAAAGTGTTGTCATTATACATATTTTGCTTCGTATTTACTTTTTTTCAATAAAAAATCGAGAAAATACAGTATCCCCAAAAAAAATTTTTTTTTTGTTTTTTTCATTTTTTAAATTTTTTTCCAAAAAATTCTAATAAAAAATCTGAAAAAATACGTCAAAAACAACCCACTTTCCTCTATTCTATTTTTTCCAACGATTTCCCAATCTTTTCCTTGTTTCTTATTAAAAATTTAATATTACACTCCATTCGGCAGCCATTTTTTTTTATTGTTTCTCCATTTTTTCGCCACGTTACTTCCCAAGCCCCGTTCTCTCTGACATACACGGGTGAAGCTCGCCAACTTTTTTACAGCCCCTCTCCGCTCTTATCAGCCAATTGTTTTGTGTTCTCGGCAGCAACAAAAGTTTCGTCGTTCGTTTTTGGGGAGTTTTGGGAATTTTTGCGGTTTTCGTCATAAATTTTTTTTTCCGTGTTTGGTTTTTTCTCTAATTTGGCGAGAATAATCTTTGTATATCACTTTGTAATTGTCGATAGTTTTGGTGAAAGTTTTTAAAAAGCCGCTGAGATATGTGCTGCTTTTTGGAGGGGTATAGGATAATGATTCTTTGGGAAATTTAATGTTCAATAATTCAAGGATTTTCTAGCTACTGTCTTAAAATTTCATTCTCATATTGTTAATAGGATATAAGAGCGAAGGAATAAGAATTTTTTCTCGAGCTCAAGAATGTTTGTTGAATTCGCTACCAATTTCAAAAAGTAGCGGAAACCTCAATTCGCAACCTCCAAAAAAGACGGCGGAAGCAAATCGGCCATTTTGCGACGGCGCAAAATTGGGAGGTAGCAAATCCATGGATTTGCGACGTCCCAAAATAAGCCCCGCCCCCTCAGTTTTTCAGCCATCACGTTTTGGCCTTTTTGACGGAAAAACACCGTTTAGGGTGAAAATTTTAGCTGATAAATCGTACATTTACGAAATTATGAAGAAAAAACGTCCCTCTTCATCGTTACAATATTTATTAATAAACGACCTACATTTTCATATAAAACATGCGGTTTTTCCACAATATTGTCCAAAATCGGCCGGAGAGTCGATGGATGGGGCTGAAGAACAGTTTTGCCAGATATGGCCGAAGTCGAGGGATGATGGATTGAAGAACATAGACGCTAAATGAACTTCCTGGAAATCAAAAGCAATGTGAAATTTACTTATCCTTTTCAGAAAAAAGACCTTCATTTACCTCATAGTGCATGTGTCTAATCCGAGCATCGTAATGGGCATAGTTTTGAGCAAAAATACGGCCGACGGGATGAAACCGAATTCCAGGTAATAATTTATTACCTAAAAACAAAATAAGAATACCTAAATCCAATCTTACCTCCTTTAGCAACTACCACACGGCCTTTCTCTTGATGGATTTCATGATTTCTGCCTCCTGCAAACGACTTATAAGACTCTTGCCATGAATAATATACTAAAAATTGGAAATCTCGGCTAAAATCAAAAAAATAATAACAAAACAGCTTACCATGGAGTCAAAAAGCCTTGTTTGCCCGCCAATTTCGTCCCCGATGTTTATGGTGATCATCTTGAGCTGGTTTATCTTCTAATCTCTGCATCCATTTGGCCAATTTCAACAGAAAAGATAAGAAAACAATACAAAAGAATTTATGAAGTGGCGAATGTTTTCGCGGCCCGTGAAAACGAAATGCCACGCACCCCGAGAACGGATTTTAGGTTCAATTTTCGTGGGAGTTCTGTTCATTCAACCCGAATTGAAGGCAACCGAGGGACGAATTCCTGGTTGGACATTTACGTAAGCTTTTTTCTTGGTATTTTATTGTTTTAGCAGAATAACAAGGATGTCTTCAACCTTATCAATAAAATCAACCGTTTTTTTGGCCATGGTAAGCTGTTTTGTTATTATTTTTTGATTTTAGAAGAGATTTCCATTTTTTTTATATTATTCATGGCAAGAGTCTTATAAATCGTTTGCAGGAGGCAGAAATCATGAAATCGATCAAGAGAAAGGCCGTGTGGTAGTTGCTAAAAGAGGTAAGATTGGATTTAGGTATTCTTATTTTGTTTTTAGGTAATAAATTATTACCTGGAATTCGGTTTCACTCCTGTCGGCCGTATTTTTGCTCAAAACTATGCCCATTACGATGCTCGGATTAGACACATGCACTATGAGGTAAATGAATGTCTTTTTTTCTGAAAAGGATAAGTAAATTTCACATTGCTTTTGATTTCCAGGAAGTTCATTTAGCGTCCATGTTCTTCAATCCATCATCCCTTGACTTCGGCCATATCTGGCAAAACTGTTCTTCAGCCCCATCCATCGACTCTCCGGCCGATTTTGGACAATATTGTGGAAAAACCGCATGTTTTATATGAAAATGTAGGTCGTTTATTAATAAATATTGTAACGATGAAGAGGGACGTTTTTTCTTCATAATTTCGTAAATGTACGATTTATCAGCTAAAATTTTCACCCTAAACGGTGTTTTTCCGTCAAAAAGGCCAAAACGTGATGGCTGAAAAACTGAGGGGGCGGGGCTTATTTTGGGACGTCGCAAAAACGCCGTTTTGCTACCTCCTCTCTCGCGGAGGTAGCGAAAACGCCGATTCGCGACCGACTTTTTTCGGAGGTCGCGAAAAGAAGGATTCGCTACCGCGACCACGTCGCAAGTCGATCATTTCGCTACTTTTTGAAATTGGCAGCGAATCCAGCAAACATTCTCGAGCTCGAGAAAAAATTCTTATTCCTTCGCTCTTATATACTTTAATTTCTGAAAGTCATAGGTCGCCGTTTACCATGAGAGTTGAGATATTCAACGATATTTGATTATAGGCCGAGGTCAGCAAGTCAAGAATGGTTTTTCGCCTGTAACTTTTTGAATGCCTTTGCTAAAAAGTTCATTTTTGCCATAGACATTGTTCATCTCATTTGTAATACTTTGCCTTTTGAACAGTCACCGGACTGGGCGCACGCACTGTGCAAAAAGCAAAAGTTCACTTTGCACTGTGCACATTCCTGCAATAGACTGTTTTTGGGCTGTTGCTCGCAACCGGAGTTTTTTTGGACATAGAAAGCGTCAAAAGTCAGTCTGGCAACATTTTAGAAGGCCTAGTAGACCAAAAAAGTCAAATTTTTTATGTGTAAATCGGAGAAAAAACCGATTTTTTGCCAACTTTCCACTTAAAAATGTCAATTATCAAAGCTTTTTAATCTTATTTTTTAACCATATTTCTATTCTAAATTTACCCCAAATTACGCCTTTCAATTCCCAGCTCTTTCCCCCCAAAATTTCAACGACAATTGAAGGCTCAACTCCCTTCAAAAACAAAAAAAACTGATACTTCCTTTGTCGCCATTCCGAGAAATTGGATTTTACAGTTTTGGTCGGCCGAAAAAATGTAGGCTTCCTGGTGGGGGGAATAATATTGCCTCTGGCAACAAAAGCGGAGACGGCTCGAAAAATGGAAGGGAAAGGAGGAAGTTTCTTTTTTTGTTTCGGATTGCTTTGAGGTCCTTTTCGGTGCTTTCTCTCAAAGTGTTTGGGGACTTTCCACAGACGCTGTGAGTGAAATGTAAGTGGTTCAGGGAAGCGCAGATGTATGTGCGAATTGACGTGTGAGGCCGAGTTCCATATTGGAAATTGTGTGTTTGCGAATGCGATGTCTGTGCTTCGGCTTTCTCAAAGCTCTAGGTGTCTTATTTTTTATTTTTCATTCTTTTTGAAGAAATTTGAGCCATATTTTCAAATACAAGTTATTCGATATTGATATTGGAATGTCAAAAAAATAATGAGCAAATGTCGCTGCGAGAACTGCGTCGCTAGTGAAAAGCAATTTGATTTTGTCGCGAGAAAACTCGTTTTCTCGGCGATGCAATTTTCGATGCAGAAAAATGCTCATTATTTTCCCGACAGGGTGATAACAAAAATTTGATAGGATATATCGCCCTGTCTGGAAAATAATGTGGATTCGTCGGGCTTTGGAATCGCTCTTCATCGTGTTGCAACGGCTAGCAGCGGCTGGGAGTTCGGAGAACCGAAACCTTTTGCCTTAATCCACATTATTTTTCCGACAGACTATTTAATAGCAAAAAGCGACAAAAAGATTTAAAAGTCATCTTAGTTATGCGACAGAGTGCTTATTATTTTCCCGACAGACTGATAACTCTAAAGTTGCCTTTTAATATTCCACTTGACAACATCAGGGTCTATTATACATAATACAATTTATGTAGTATGTAGTTACACAAGTTTTCCACAAAAAATGCATATAATAATTGTTTTGCAAGTTGAAAAGGTTATTGAGAAAAAAACTTTTTTTCTCTGGCCGTCTCTCCTCATTTTCCGTAGTCTCATCAAAAAAATATACTTGAATATCTCAGTTCCGCTTATGACATGGCAGCTTATTATGATATTTTTAGGAATTCGATGACTTGAAAATCAGTAAAAACTTTTCGAATTTTGTGTCTAAACCTGTTGATATTGTGCATCAAAATCCACAATATCTCACTTGGAATAAACCCTAATTTTTTCGAATCAAAAATCGGAGGCTTTCTAAATTTTTTGGGGCCAAGTCAACATCATTTTTGAGGCTAAAAATCCCTATAATTTCTGCAAATTATAAGCCAAATTTTGACATATTTCCCCGCCAATTATAACGTCTACAAACATACCATAATAATTACGAAAAACTTCCGTGTTCTGGCCCACCCCAATCTTTCTCTCACTCCCCCATTTAATGTCACAACATCTAAGCGTGCCGCACACGCTAATCATCAGACATTGTCGGCTCATTCATTCAACATGCTCTCCCATGCCCGGCGGCACCCGCATTTCACGCATTCCCTCGATGGTTGTTAGGCGGGCAGGGGGCGAGAGGAATTATTTTCTCTTACATCTAGCCACGGGGGGGGGAGGGGAGCTGACGTGTGCCCTGAACGTTGCAATGGTGGGGGAGGGGGAGATGGGAGTTGCTGAGGTTGTCGCAACTTTTAGCGATTGCTGTCGGTGAAAACTTTCGGTGTGTCACCATTTGCAATGTCAGCCCGTGGAAGCTGTCCAAGGCGCCGGGGACGGATTTGGAGGCGTTGGTAAGGGGTTTGATTGGGGTCTGCAAGGTACTCAAAGTGCGACACTCAGGTTTTGATAAAACTTGAGGCAATTTTGAGTTATTTTTTCTCATGCATATGCAAGACTTCTAGCTCACGCTTTGCAGAAACCACCGAGTTTTTTATGTGAAAAGTGGGCGAAAATGCTCCATTGTTTTTCAATTTTGGCAATCAAACTTGCACAACGCATATTTTTAGATATGATATAGGGCCCTGTTTCCATAAAAAAAATCGTTTTTTTCCGCATTAAATTGTCAAAGCTATAGCTAATTTGAATTGTGTCACGGAAAAATTAAATTGCTTTTCACTTCGCTATTTTCCCGGCTGACTGATACAGCGAGGGACCTGATCCAATGGCAAAAAACGTCTCACTTTGCATCCCGGAAGGAACCAAAATGACTCAAACCCCTTCCCTTCTCTAAGCTAAGAAACTCCGCTTTGAAAAGCGCGCCCTTTCTTTCAAGTATGTAAAGAAAAAATCCGAGCGAAACAATTGAGGCACTTCCTTGTTAGGAGAAATGGGTTTAACTTGTGCTTCATTAAACACTCATATTACACAGGTTTAGTCTGTCCTTTCTCTTCAAAACTGCTCAATTTTTTCGCTACCAAACATGGTATCTTGTGTTTACTGAAGTCATCAAAAAATGCTCTATTCCTTAGCATTTTTGCTTATGTATTTTGTGGGTTTAAGGCTCTTAACTCAAAAAAAATCAAGTCAAACCGACCCGCTTTTCACCCATAATTCCCTTCTTAGCTTTACAATCTCTCCCTATCCCTCTACTATCCTAAAACTCTATTGTTTTTGGCTTAAAATTCAGCTCAAGATTTGAAAAAACTTCCTCAACCCAGCCTCTTTATTTCTCATCATCAACAAGCACACCCCGATTTTTCTTTGATTTGAAGAGCGATTTAACTTTATATAAACAATTTGAAGGGCTGATAAGGGAACCGACTCTCACTCCGATTACTGTAGCTTGAACATCGAGTGGTATTTTTTTGTTTGATGATTAGAATTTGTCAAACTTGCGGTTTTTGAAATTATGGTATTGGAAGCATTATAAAAATTGTTAAATTCGTTAAAAACGCGTTGTTTGCGAATCATTTTTTTGTTCATATAACAGCGGTAACATGGCCTAAACACCAACTTGAGATTGTTTTTGAAAACAAATTTTTTTTGGATAATTTAATTTTTGGTTGTTCGTTGCATTGAGCTTTAAAAAAGTGTCGACAACAAAGGAAATATCGCTTTTTTTGATTCATGAAAGTTTTAGCTCGCACTTGGCATCAGCAGCCGAGATATTGAAAAATCTTTGCCGCCGAGAGAGTACGCGAAACGCGGAGAGCGGTCAGACAAAAAAGAAACACTTTTTGGCCATATCTTTGCCAATTTCGGGGGGAAAATTTTGATTTTTTGTGGAAACATTTCCCTCTATGGTAGAAATAGACATGAAAATTTTTGTCCCGAAATTTGGCCAAAAGTCTCAAAATTTCGCCGACTTTCGGGCCAAAAATCTCGGTTGTTTCTGACAAGGAAAGTACTTTTATGGGGGCTCCTACTTTTTGACCGGACATATCTCAAAAAATCAGAAAAAATGTGGTGATCAAGGATATATGAATCTTAGCTGCCCATTTTAGGTTTTTAGGGGTGAAAACTCAATCGGAAGTTGACGTAAAGTCCTATATGAACCCCTTTTCGTTTAATTTTTCATAGGTTTACAATTTTTATTTTGGCTTAAAATGGTGTTTATTGAGTTTCTAAGATGTAATAAGTCAGTCTTGGCCCAAAAATTTATTTTTCCGACCTTCAACTTCAAAAAAAGATGATTCAGCCCAAAAGGGAAATCGAACCCGTGCGGCGTTCCCCCTGTTGATTCCCAGACTACGGCACTAGCCACTCGGCCACACCGCTCTCTTCCGAAGGAAGAGACCGAATGCGCTTTTTATCGTTTCGAATGCCTGCACCTTTTGTAGGGAAATTAAGCCAGTTTTTGGGCATTTTCACCCCTAAAAACCTAAAATGGGCAGCTAAGATTTATATCTCCTTGATCACCACATTTTTTCTGATTTTTTGAGATATGTCCCGTCAAAAAGTAGGAGCCCCCATAAAAGTACTTTCCTTGTGAAAGGAGCGAGCAAGGATTCTCGCATATATTTTAGAAAAAAAATGTTTTAAATTTATGCCAATTTTCGTCAAAAATCTGAGCGTCAAACTTGGGGTACTTCCCTTGCAAGTCTTTGTTTACTTACGGCCTAAAAAATATCGTTTTTCTCCAAAATGCAAGAAAAAAAATTCTACTGCAAACTCCCAAATTTCTATGGCACTTCCACCATAATTTTTTTTAACTTTACACACTGATTTTTTAGACTTTTTACTGTAATTTTTTCAAAAAAAGTGCCCAAAAACTTAATTAAGCGCCTCTGTGCATTCTTAAATTCCTTCTCCTGTTATACTTCCTTCCTTTTATCTTTCGGTGCAAACAATCGCCGATTCCAATCGCTCGTCGCAAATCACACTAGACTACATTCCGCGCATCAATTTCTTGGCGAATTTTGGGCGCTTTCGCGGGGACTTTCCAGCGAAAAAAAAGGTTTTTTTAAGTTACAATTGAAGGGAATTTTGACCGATCAAATAGATTTTTTAAGAAAAAATTTAACTTTTTCTTACTTTTTGGAAATTTTTCTATGTGAAAACAGCAAAAAATCCTCAAAACAATGACATATTTTACCGAAAAAGGACTGAAGTTTGCTCCTGCCAGTTTCGGAGGCTTTATCATACCCATAAAACTGTCAAAACTTTTGATTATTTTAATGGGCCCCATAAAAAATGTTGTTGTCTGTGCTTGCGAGCCGCTTTGTTAGTTTTTTCCCCAAACTAAGGACCCATTTTAACGGAGTTTTTGTTCTTAATTGAGGCTGAAAATGACTTTGTTCTAGACATTTTTTTCAATGTCTAGGCAAAATTTTTTTTTCATTTTTGAGCCATAAATTTTAGATTTTATTGGCTGTGAGGTGGGCAATTTTTCTACAAAAATCACGTTTTTTCATTGAGAATTCGAAAAGTTATACGCAAAAAGTTTTTCAAAGCCGTTGGATGCTCGGCGGAGGCTTGGCGAAGACTTGCAATATGTCATATTTTTCTAATTTTAACTATTTCTACTAACGTCAGTTTTCTCTACCCTAAGTTATTGTAACATATAAAAAACCTAAATTTGCGGCAAGTAACGAAGATCCGTTGCTTTTATCTAGTTATTACTGATGAGATTACATGTAAAATACCTCAAATAGGTGAGAATCTATGCTAGGACCCGACCAATCTTATTATTTCTACTAACTAAGCCTTCTACAAGCCTTCCCTATACATACAACGACCAATTGACACGATCCACAGACATTGTCAGCCCAAAAAATCGTGCGCCGTGTCTGACACAATCATAATTTTAGTCACAATCTTTTGTGTTTTATTCTCTAAATCTAGTCGAATTTTGTTCCGAACTTCATCTGGCTGCTCCCTACTACTTCTTGTTCAGATTGTTCTCCTTTGTTAACAGTATTCTTTTTCTTAAAAAATTTGCCGGACACTCCCAAAAAACTAGTCATCTTTCCAATCATTTTTTGGCACAAATAAGTTGATTCTCATCGATAATACCGTTTTTTCCTTTGCTAAATATCTTTTTTTGGCCTATAAGTTATAGGGAGTCTAATAATAGGCCCAGTACCGCTCGTGGGATCTCTTCCTTGAAATTCCGTATATTGATTTCAAATAGGCCACAAAATAATCACTGAAAAATCTATGTCATTATTTGCAAGGAGTGCCAAGATATTACCCGGTCTTTTTATGGAGTTATCTGAAGAAATTAGGCCTAACGGACACATTTTTTTGCTTAGAAAATATGTGTCGCGAAGCTCAATTTTAGGCCGAAATAAACCTCTATGTTACAGAACTCTTTTATCAGTTTGTCGAGAAAATAATGAGCCCTCTGTCGCCTCGCATCACCGCCGAGAAAATTACTCATGCCGCGGCAAAATCAAATTGCTTTTCACTTCAGCGAGCGATTGGCGACAACGACATTGCGTTCATTATTTTCCCGACAGGCTGATATTTATTATACATACACCTCTCTTATCAAACCTTTAAGTTTACCGAACCAAACACCACAAATTGCCCTCTTATTTGTCGCGTAAGAGGGCCGAGAACTTCAAGCGTTGTTGATGATCTAAACCCGAAAAAGAGGCGGAGTGAAGCGCGCGTGGGGGGATCTTTGTTTTGCCCCGAGTATCCTTGCACTCATAAAATTAAACTTCGTCCCTTTTTTCAGATTAGTGATCTCCGAATTGGGAGGGCGAGGAATGTGGGACCAAGGTTTGCAAGGGGGATTTGGAAGGGTTTTAGAGGAATTTTTTGATGAATTTTGTATTTATTAAGATGATGAAATAATGGGTTATGAAACTAAAATATCAGAAAAAAAGCTTGTCGGGAAAATAATGAGCACAATGTCATTGCACCAGTCGCGTCGCAGTGAAAAGCAATTTTATTTTTCCTTCATTTTCTCGTCGGTGATGCAATTTTTGATGCGAAAGAGTGCTCATTATTTTCCCGACAGACTCATCAAGACTTTTTGACCCACAATATAAGCCTTTTCAAAAAAAACATGGACTTTTTTCACCACATTATTTTCCCGACAGACTGATATTATAACTTTTTTTTCTTGCGGATGAAGTTACATAAGTTTAATCTAGATCTTGCTGAAACTTTAAGCAAATTAAGAATAGCATTTTCTAAGGAATCTGCGAATCTTTTTGCTTGTGCTTTGCTAAAAATAATCGTAATTGTTGAGTGAAAGGTTGGTCAGAAATTTGAAATTTTTGGTCTCTTTTTTACTTGAAAACTGTAGCGTCTATTGGCAGCAATACCAACAGTTCAAAGTGGAGTCTCAACTTTGAGCTTCTGAGTGCCTGCAGGGTCTTTTTTACCGTTGTACTCGATGGAAAATGCTGACAAAATCATGAAACTTAAGACTTCATTTTTACTTGTCGGGAAGTATAAATTATTTTTACAATATCTCGGCTCTCATTATAATTACTGTGCTACAATTTTCAGCTATTCATTTATAACCTTTTCAAAGTAAACATGCAAAATTTAAAGCAAATTGGAGACTTCCAAATAGGACAGTTCTCCCAATTTTCCTTATCCCTAATGTCATCAAGTTCCCCATTTTGGCCCTTTTGTGCTAAAATATTCTATGCTCAAACTCCTTTCCTCCCGCGTTGTGACGCACCCCACCAACGCTCCGGCTAATTACATTTTTACACACCGCGAAATACGGCCCAACGAATTGAGGCATAAGCCGCGTGTTGGCGTGCCGCGGGGTATTCGTTAATTCCCCCCTTTCTCCGAATGCAGGTGGTTTAAGGCTCGAGTTGCACAAGGCTGCGGTGTCGGGTTCCATGCAATTTGCAAATTTGACGTGATGCTCGATAGTTGTATCTCAATTTCGAGAGCTGAGGAGAGAGTTTTGGATATTGTTTTAGATAGAAATTTGGTTTTAGGCGGTTTTTTGGCTGGATTTTGGGACTTATTGACAGAATGTTGGATTTTAAAGACATTGAAAGAATTTTCGCCCTCGTATTTTAAAATATTAGAGTCAAATTTCTTTTTGAATTTGCGATTTTCTATAGACTTTCAAAATACCCGGGTATATAATGTTTCGGCCGCTTATGGCCGCGCCATTTGGATTTTCCTCAATTTTCTTAGTCAGTAAGCTCTATAAGGGCTCTAGCTATTATAATAAAAAAATCTTTTGATACTGTAGCCTTTCATTCTGTCTAAATCTGACATTTTTTGTCAACTGTCCGACTTTTTTTTATCAATCTTTTCTTGGCCAATTTTCGTGGCCATGAACGTCTTCGTGCTCTGCTGACATTTTTACTTGATAAATAGTGGTCTATATACTGTATTCTTCTTTTAGTTTTGATAACTTTTCCTTTTTTGTATACTTTTTGACACCTTTTTCAATATCACCTACCAAATTTTATTTTCAAAAAAATATCGATTCCGCTGTTTACTACACCCTTTCCAACCCCATATTCCTCGCTAATTACCCCCTCATTTCAGCCCACCTACAAATTTGGGGCGTCCAAGGAGCTGGCTCAGTTTTCGCAAGCAAAATTTGCATATCCAGCCCCCAAAGAGGCCAAGATGGAGATCGACGTGATGGATAGGGCCAACGAGTTCATGCTAGCGCAGCGACATCATCAGAACTTCCTTCAAGCCAACGCCAGCCTTCAGCACAACTTTGTGACGCCGTCGATGGCGGATCTGAATCAAGCGCCGCCCGAGATGGACTACGTTGGGCCGGGAAGGCGGCGCTCGAAGAAAACTTTATTTTGTGATGTCTGCGGGGACACGGTAAGTGCTTGAGTATTAGTAGCTTGATTTTTAGGGAATATACGAGGCTGCGGAATACAGAAAGCTTTGATTTCTAGCTTTACCTGATCGGGGGAGCCATTTTTTACGCAAAGCTTATATTGCACTGTGCGAAAATAAAAAGCTTATGCCCTGAGGGCGTTGCAGGAAAAATGTAGCATAATGACTGACAGGTTGCAGTATTTTAGGATTGCAGACACAGGAAACCATTTTTCTTGACTTTCCTCGTATTGGGTGACGTTTTATACGATGAAAACTTTTTCGCACAGTGCAAAACAAAAATTTGGCAAAAACAGGTTTAAAATTCTTCTTTCTCAATTTTGATGGTGAAATACGAATATTTTCTTTATACGAGCCTTTGGTATTCACAGAAAAATCATCGAAATCCTCAGGAAAAGCAAGAAAAACCTACTTTTTTGACTCGCACAGTGCAAAATTAAGAAAAAATTCTTAACTAGGAAGATAAAAATTTTCGAATATCTATGCTGGTAAAATACGCGTTGTCCATTTTGAGTTTTCTTAAAGTTTTTTCATCACATTTTTTCACCACTCATCACGCTCCAAATTAAAAATTTTGAAGCCCACGCGAGGAAAAGGGCTCTTTCTTGGAAGAGAAACAATGGGATTAGTCATTTTTTATGCATGAAAGAGAGGACTAATCCTACAACTTGTTCCGCTTTTCGGTTTCTTATTAACAAGTGATATAATACTTAATGAAATCAGAAAAAAAAATTTTTTTTTTTTGAAAATTTGTGAAAAAAATATTTTTGAAAAAATTTTAAAAAAATATTTTTTTTTTATTTTTTTTGATTATTAATAATATTATATTATAAAAATAAACAAAAATTTTTATTTTTCAAATAAATTTTTTTAAATTTCAGGCCTTGGGGCGTCATTACGCGGTTATAGCGTGCAACGGGTGTAAAGGTGAGGCAACTTTTTCTAAATTTTTACTTTTCATTTTTAGGGTTTTTTCGGCGTAGCGTCTGGAATAATAAGCGGTATAAATGCCGGTTCGAAGGGCGATGCGTGGTGGCCAAGGAACAGCGAAATGCCTGCAGGGCATGCCGGCTAAAAAGGTGTTTAGATGTGGGGATGAATCCGAGAGGTAAGCTTTTTCGATTTTTTGGATACTTTTGGAGGTTTTTTAAATTAAAATGTTTTTAAATTTTAAATTTTTTTTATAAAATACGATAAATATTTCCAATATTTTTTTGTTAAAGAAGTCAGAATATCTTACAAAAATTAATGAGATAACCTCCTGGACTCGAAAATTATTTATTTTCGACTCTAGTTTGGGTTTTGTTTGCATAATTTTTTCCAAAATCAAACAAATTCGGGACCAACGATAAGAAAAATGTTGCACTCGGAATGAAGGGAACACGACAGTTTTTGTATTGAGATTTGCAAATACAATTTATGTACTCAAGTTTAGACAAAATTAATATTTAAAAAATAAGCCATCAAGACTAAAATTCGAATATTTAAATTAAGAATAAAAGTATTTCCAAAATACCCCGAGGGCATAATAAAGTAATCTACGTCAGTTGTTGATCTTTCTGTGCCCTTTTTTCGACAATATTTTTAGTTATTTCGCGTAAAAGCGAATTCCCAACCCAAAACCGTTTGTGCCGAAAAGTGCAATCGTCTCAGACCTTCGCAATATTCGAAGAACGAGCTACCCCTCTGCCCAAAACAATCAACAAAATAAAGGGATTAAGATAATGACGCGTTTTTATGGGATTCATCAGACTTGCGTAATGTTTGTTCAACGGAGTCGTAAATAAAACGTATCCCACAAAATATTCTGCGTATAAAATGTGCTTAAAAAAATATTTTTTTGTATAAAATGTCCCTACAAAAACGTATTTTTTGTATGAAATGTGCCCTCAGAAAAAATGATTTTCGTATAAAATGTCCCTTCAAAAAATGCTCTTCGTATAAAATTTCACTCTCGGAAAAAACGACTTTCGTATAAAATGTCACCTAATTTTTGTGTGGTATAGATGTCGTCCTCAAAAAAATTTTTCGTATAAAATGTCCCTTCAAAAACGTCACCATCAAAAAAAATTTTTTCGGATAAGATGTCGCCCTTAAAAATAAATTTTCGTATAAAATGTCCCTTTTGCAAAAAGATTTTTTTTCGTATAAAATGTCGCTTAAAACTAGATCTTTAGTATAAAATATCACCCTCAAAAAATATTTATTTTATACCATCTCATCTTCAAGCAATGTAAAAACAAATTTCAGCCGTTCAATACGAACGCAATGACTCGGAACAAGTCCACACGACCTGGCGCTCCGACGAGGCGCATCCCAACGAAACGGAGCAAGTTGTCAGCGTCTCCGCCTTCATGGGACAGTCCTCCTCGTTCAGTGGGAGTGTGAGTGCGACGCCCGTTCCGTACGTGCAACAGTGCCACGCGGAATGCCAAACACAGCCCTGCAATTTGCCCAAAATTGACGACAAGGGACGGGTGTTGTGTCCCGCTTACGACGAGACGGACTTCAAACGAACGCCAATGTTTATTCCGTCGCCGGAGGAGGAGATGCGGCTGAGCAGTGTGGTTTTCGATGCGGACTCACAACGACAGGTGCGATTTGTTCAGATCTTTTCACTTATTTTTTGAGATTTTGAGGTTTTTTATGCAATATGCATGATTTTGAGATTTTACAAAATTTCGACTTAAAAATCTCGATGATTTATGCAAATTTCGATCTGAAATTTTCACAGATGCCTTAGAAAATCTTTTTCTATATTTCTGACAAGTTTCATCGAAAACAAACAACTTTGAAATTTTGGATACTTTTTGATACTTTTTCAAAAACCTCAAAAAAAATCGCTAATATTCCACTTTCAGGTGATGCATCTAATCCAAATCGATGATCAGGTGGTGGACGGTGTCGAGAATACGGCGGAAATAATCCGCAATTCCAAAAAAGACCCCAACGGGTACCCCTTCGTGGATCTGTTCAAGAATCCGGGCCTGGTCTGCGTCCGCATTCGAATCAGCCCCACGGCGGAGCGAATCGCCGAACTCGAGGACACAGTGCAGGATTGGCAACGCTGTTTGGTCTACTTTATCGACTTTGTGAAGGCGGTGCCGGAGTTTCAAAGCTTCACGGCGGAGGATCAGATTTCGCTGGCCGAGAGCCGCTATCCCGCGTTTCATTGGTGGGCGGCGGCGAACTGGACGGTGAGGACGGGCTGCGATGGCGTCTGCTATTGTAACGGCTCGTATTTCCCGCGGAATCAACAGTTTCAACGGGTGTTGGATCAGAGGTGAGTGGGTGATGATAAAGTTAGAATTGAGATAGATTTGAGGGTTCCACGGGGTAAATTTGAGCTTGTGGGGGCTTGAAAAGCTCTTATGGTTCTGTCTACCAGCTGGGTCGATAAAATACAGCCCCTGTAGTATACAAATTACATAAAAATCATTATTTTTTTTGGCAAAAAGCGATGTTTAAGTCATCAAAAAAAAGAAAAAAATAAATTTTTCAAAACTCGACCGGTTGATCTTCTTTTAATTCGGCGTTAATAGCCCTTCTGGAAAGTTGGACTGAAATCGGCGACACGCACAGTGCGAAAACAAAAGTCTCCTTTGCACTGTGCAATTTCTGGCTTTTTGCACCGTGCAATGGACTTTTTTTTCTGCCGTCGCTCGCACCCTGCCTTTTTTCGCACAGTGCAAAATTTTAGTCAAACTCTTTTTTGCACGGTGCAAAAAACCGAAAGTTAAAAAACTTCACTGTGCATCGAAAAAATAGAAAAAAAAAGTTTCTGTAGAAATGTCCAATACCTCTTACCGCTTGAGAATGTTGGTGGATGGAATGCTGGGTGCGCCAAAAATCAGTCCGGTGACTTTCAGGAAGAACCAGCGGTATTTTCCAAAGGGGCATGGACATTTTTTCGCAACAAAACCGCGGCGGCGATGTTGAAAACAGCTTACAGTACAAAAACAAAAAAAAAAGATGAATGCACCGTGCAAAAACTAAGAGATCTTTGTCTTTTGCGGTTCGGGCCACGAAAAATGTTCATGCACTTTATGAAAATGCTGTTGGGAAAATAATGAGCACTCTGTCGCATCGAAACTCGCATTGGCATTAAGAAAATGAATTGTTTCGCGACAAAATCAAATTGCTTTTCACTTCAGCGACACAATCAGCGCAGCGACATTCCCCTCATTATTTTCCCGACAGACTGATACAAAATTTCGAAAATTTGAAGAAACAATAAAAAAAATCTTGCATACTTTCATATCATCCCACTATTTCATCTACAAATTTCCAGACGGGTAACAGAGCGGATGCTAAACCTAATGGTCCGACCTCTCCGAAAACATCCGATCAGCCGACAAGAACAAGTCATTCTCACCGTGTTGACCATCTTTGCCCCCGCCAGTCTTTCCAATCTCTCGCCGCATGGCAGGGAATGCGTTCGGTTCATCCGAAAGCACTACACAGCCCTGTTGTACCGGTTGTTGGTGAGGATCGCGCCGATCGAGTCGAGAAGCGAGTGGGCCAGCGCCAGGATCGGACACTTCTTCACGCTGCTGGCTTCGATCACGGTAAGGGTTTGGAGATTTTTGTGATTTAGAGAGTGTGAAAAAGTTGAGCAAAATTTAGAGAATTTTTCCAGAAAATGCGTAGATTTTTCGTCGCAAATTTTTTGCACTGTGCATTTGCCCTTTTGCGCTGTACAATCCAAAAGTCGCCAAGAATTTTGGGCGCGCGTAAAAATTCACTGTGCCCCGCGAAAAAAGTCTACGCACTTTCTGGAACGACTAGAAGTCCTAGAACAGCGGTTTTTTAGTTTGCACTATGCGAAAAACAGCAAAATGCACATTGAGATAGATTGGAGGGTGCCACGGAGAAAGTTGGTGCTTTTGAGGGCTTGAAATTCTCTGATAGTTGTGTCTATTAGCTGGGTTGGTAAAATACAGCCTCTGTAGTTTACAAATTACATAAAAATCAATTTTTTGGCCAGAAGCGATTTTTGTCCAAAAAAAGAAAACACGTATAAATTTCTCAAAACTCTTCCTTGATTTCGGCGTTAATAGCCTTTTGTGGACTGAAATCGGCGACTTGTGCGAAAACAAAAATTCTCTTTGCACAGTGCAATTTCTTGCTTTTTGCACCGTGCAATAGGCTTTTTTTTGGGCTGACTTTTTCGCACGGTGCAAACGACAAAAATCAGTCCGGCGACTTTCCGGAAGGACTTGTAGAGGGTAGTTTTTCATTATCTACATTTTGAGACCATTATATCAGTCTGTCGGGAAAATAATGTGGATTTAAGATTTTTTCAGCAAGATTTTTCATCTTGTCGCAGTTAAAAAATATTTTATTTTTAAATTTATTTTTTTCCTATCCGAATCTCTAACCGCGACTAGCCGTCAAAAAGAAATGGTGGGAGATTTCAAGGCGCGACAAAAAATCCACGATAATTTTCCGACAGACTGATAAAGCAAACACTATTTTTTCGCTTTTCCTACTCTCCTCATTCCGCGTGCTCTCTAAAAAACAACCTGTTTTGTCATCTCGAACTATGCTAACTCTAGCTAAAACCTTGTGGTATTTTAATATAAATTAAAATGTATCGTTAGTAAATTACTGCACAAAATATTCTAGTCTTTTACCCTACTTTAAATTCATTTCCCCAATTTTTCAATTTTTCAGGAGCTCGTCCGCCTCTCTGCCGACAACGTCCGCTTCAACGAGGTCTTCAACGTGACCGGCTTTGGCGGCGGAACCGCCGTGGCGCGCAACTTCTACGACACCTACGACCGCGACTCCGGTTGCTAGTATTTGCGAAAAACAGAAACAACAAACCCCTGAACATATTACGCACCTCAAACGAATCAATATCACAAACCAAAAATCTCATCTTTCGTACAGTCTCTTTCCATTCGATTTTAATTTCCGGTGGTCTAATAAGTTTTTTTTTTTGTATTTTTTGGTATTTTTTCAAAGAAAATTTGCGGTTTTTTGAGGGAAAAATCAATTTTTTGAAATTTTGGAATTTTTAAAATGCAAAAAATTGCCTTTTTCCCCAAAAAATCCCATTTTTCAGTTGATAGTCATGTACAGTTCTTACCGTAAGCTAGTTTGTTGTTGTTATGTCTGTATTATAGAACTTTTTTTCTCATTGTTTTTCTCTCACTTCTCCCAAAAACGATTGTTCTAATAAGACGGTTATGAATAAAGTTTTATTTATACATAAAAATAGCACTTTTTATAATACCATACTATAATATTTGAGCAGCCAAAAAAACGCGGATTCATTATTTAAACTATAGAGAGCCCAATTTGGGCAGGGCAAAAACAGGTGTTGGGAACTAAATAAAAATAAAAATAGCAGAATAAGTTGTGGAGGGTTTTTCGGGTTACAGTTCGGATCGACGATACTACGGATCGGGTCGATTCGTCGTTGCATGTAAAGGTGGTCATATAAGAATTAAAAATTTTGATTTCCCAAATCGCGTTTTTCGGTGCACAAAAAAGTCGACGCCCAAAGCGAAAAATTGGCGTCGACTTAATTATCTCAGCACCGAATTCCGAAACGCGGTGCTGACTTAGGCAGTTAAGTCTTCTGTGCTGACTTAAGACTTTGTGCACTGATTTTGAAAAACTTGGAAAATTTTACCAGATTTCAGAATTCGGTGCAGAGCAAAAAATAAGTCGACGCCAGTTTTTCGATTTGGGCGTCTAATTTTTTGTGCACCGAAAATCGCGATTTGGGAAAAAAGAATCTTAAATTCTTATATTACCACTTTTATGTATAGTAGAAGAGGATAAAAGAAGGCCTAGTTAGCAGATAATAAGCTTGATCGGGTCCCACGATAGCTTATCACCTATTTTGAGGTGTTTTACATGTACTCACATCAATAATATCTAGATAAACGTTACGGATCTTCCTTTTTTGCCACAAATTTTTCTCTTTTATGTGTTACAATAACTCATGGCAAGCAAAACTAACGTTAGTAATAGCTAAAGTTATAAAAAGTGGACATATTGCAACCCTTCGCCAAGCCTCCGCCGAGTGTCCGCCGACCATCCAACGGCTTTGCCAGGCCATGTAGGCAGTTCCTACAACCTTTTTCTTACAATTTAGCATCCATCCGAAGTGCCTTGAAATTGCCTATCATCGTTTTGCGAGATACAGGGTGGTCCAGCTAAGTTCGCGGAGTACGGCAAGGCTTGGCATTTTGCAGCAAAAAATCCTCATTATTTTCCCGACAGGCAGAAATTTTCTGGTGAAGATAGATTTATATCAGTCTGTCGGGAAAATAATGTTGATTTGTGGCGAAAAAATGTCAAGCCTCGCCGCAGAAGCGCACCAAATCTCTCGCAAAACGATAACGGGCGATGCCAAGGCCCGATGAGTCCACATTATTTTCCCGACAGACTGATATCCTCAAATGACTGTCGTTTTCTTCAAATCCCTTGGAATTGTAATGGGACAAGCTACAAATTTCGCATCGTTCTACAGAAACTTTAACATTGAGCGTGCCTTTGAACTTCCACAATTCCTCAAATAGCTGACAATCAAGTTAACTTCCCGCTCATAAAAAGTCACCAAAGTCTGTGCGAAAGTAAGTTGTACCGTAATTTGTGGTTCATTCCTAATTCAAATGTGATTACCAACTTCCATACAGCACAAAATAACTAATGCAAAATCTAATTTGGAGAAACAGCTGAGTATCGAAGAATTTCTGGCTCACGGAACTGTCGACCTGCCGACTCATTGCTTGAAAATGCATTCTTGTCGCGACGAGCGCTTCTTTGTTGGCGCTCTCTACAGCATCTTTATGTTGCCGTGTTTGGTGTTGCAGGCGCTTGTGGTGAAGGTGAGGCAGTGTCAACATACGGCGTCGCGACACTTGCGGGTAACCACTTTCCAGGCAGCCGACCTTTTGTGATTAGAATTATGGTACCTTTCGTAATCTACGTAGTATGACACAGATTTTACATTGACAACTATCTGGTACTGATAAGTTTACGAATCCATTGAATTCATCCACCGCTTTCAAATCTATGAGAGATTTTTTTTCAAAAACTAGTAAAAGTACCAAATTAACCTCTGGGGGAACTCTTCAAGCCGTTTATTCACCAGGAAACTTAATTCGCAACGTCTAGCTGCCAAAGCCTTTTCCGCAATACTCGGCTGATTTTCAAAAATGCCCGCAGAACCCCGTGGTTCTTCTAGCTGCCCGCAAAGTGGTTGACCGCTAATATGGGCACGCCAACAATATCAGTCTGTCGGGGAAATAATGAGCACAATGCCACTGTGCCGATCCTCGTAAAAACAATTTGAAAGTGAAAACCACTTTGATTTTGCCGCAATACAATTCATTTTCTCGACGCCGATGCGATTTTCAATGCGATAGGGTGCTCATTATTTTCCCGACAAATTGATAAATCGCTGAAGATATTTTTTTTTGGATTTTAGGTGATATGGCAGTCAAGAATGTATCGTGACTCCATCAGCTTCGACACAATACTCCGCCAATCCGTGATTAATTTTATGTTTGTCGCAACTCAAGTGCCACTAATTTTTTACTCAACTTTTTGCACATCTTTTCCAGAGATTGACCAGGTAATGAGACAAATGTCGACTGAAATCTCTTATTTTACAGAGGGTGTTGTTGACCAAAAATTCTGTGGGCAGGTCGGCTGGGTGGTGGGAGGATCACCGTGTAAAAATCCCTCAATTCCGAGGCGCCGCGAAAATTATCTTGGCACCTCTTACCAGTTTTTCGTTGCATTAAACTTGGCTCAAATTTAGGATAGTTTTTTCCAAGGCCTGTAAATGTCAAGCTTTTTATGCGAAATTTTCCATGCAAAGTTTCACGCCCCTTTGTAATGTAGCAAAACTGGCAAAGATATCAACCAAAAAGTCCTTTTCCCCTCTGAACTCCCTCCGAATTTCGCGTATTCTCTCGGTTACAATGACCGCAAAGTGCGCTCAAAGTTTTTTCAAAAAGTCATACGTGCCTTATACCCAACCTATGTGCAAAAGTTAAGGAAAATTTCCGCGTTGCACTTGGCACACTTCCCTGTTAAGGGGCCAAAATAAGCACATTTTAATATCCCTTTTAGGGCTTGGAAGACGAAACGTCACAGAATTTTTTATTGTCCTTATCAACATAATCAAACGGATTGTAAAACATCATCGTCAGCAGTTTTAAAATTATTTTTGACTTGGCTTTAAAGGCATGGGAGAAGAAAAAATTTTGTGACATTTCGTCAACTAAGCCGTGAAAGCGAGACTGAAACTGTCGGGAAAATAATGATTCCGTCGTATTGAAAACCGGATCGCCGAGAAAACGAATTGTGTTGCGACAAAATCACATTCCTTTTCACTTCAGCGACACGATCGGCTCAACGATATTGTGCTCATTATTTTCCCGACAAACCGATAAAACTGAACGGCCTCTTTTAGTATATCGTCCTCGTCTATTTGACCTGCTTTTTTTCCATCGAACCCTACGGACTTGTTCTCACATTATCACGAATCAACATCATCGCAATGAAGAGTGTCATCCCCGAAGTTGCTTTGAAGGTAATTTTTAAATTAAAAAAAATTTTTTTGGTCTGTCGGAAAAATAATGAGCGATCTGTCGCATCAAAAATCGCATCGCCGACGGGAAAAAATCAACTTGAGCAACGAACGCGATCGGTGGGTGCAGCGACATTGTGCTGATTATTTTCCCGACAGACTGATATATTATAGCAATTGATGTAAAGGAATTTATATATACAGTGAGAGGCCTGATCCAGTGGCAAAAACCGTATCATTTTGCATCCGGAAAATATCAAAAAATGTGGCAAAATGCCTCCCTCTCCAACTAAAAAAAACTCCGTTTTGAATTGCCCTCACAAAAAAGTGCGGCATGGCGTTTGAAATCGGAGTTTTTTGACTTGCAGATGGAGGTATTTTGCTGCATTTTTTGATACTTTCCGGAAGCAAAATGGTACGTTTTTGCCACTGGATCAGGTCCGCGACTGTAGGCAATGCTTTCGTTTAGACCTTGAACCGTCTAACATTCCCCGGTTATCTTTTGGTTATGACTGTTATCACAGTGTTTCCGAGCGCAGATTGTGGACTGTTTTATTATGCGTACAACTGGGAGACCGCCAGTGATTGTGCTCATCAGGATATGCTGAATGGACTCACGGAGGCGGTCTATGTCATCTTGGGGTTCAATTTGATGGCGTATTTTGTAATCTCCGGGTTTTTAGCGTTCCAGGTGAGGCTCGAAAATACGCCCTTTGATTACAATACAATATATTATATATATGTATTACAACCTATGTAAAAACATGTCATGGTATATGCATATTTATATACGGCTATCAATAAAAAAATCTATTTTCAGCGCCGTCAAACCCAAGCTTCATCCAGCCAGACCGATTTCAAAGCAGAGCAACGGGTACTTTTGTCGACAATGTCCTCGTTCTTCTCAACATTCGTCCTGATTACGGGCAAATTGGCTGTCACCGTATACGTGAATGATGTGGTGTTGGCGAGAGTTGTGTATCGAGTGTTGGTGCTCATTTGCAACAATCTTTTCGCGTTTTCATTGGTCTTTGTGAACACGTGAGTTGCCGTTTACTTTACCAAAGTTAATTGAGAGTTTATTTTGTAGTATTTTCATAAAATTCGTCCTCTTTCGCCCAGTGAATTGTTCGTTATTATTTGCAGATCCCTGCGCACAGGTGTTTTGAAAATCATCTGGCCAAGGTACCACAAACGGGCACCAACAAAAGTCGCTTTTTTGCCGACAAGGAACACCATTACCTCCAGGGGTTGATCAACTCAGGAGAAAGGGAAAACAGTTGTCTTATATATTTGTTACATCATCACGTAGTTATATAGAGCAATAAATTTACAGGAGCGAAGATTCGTATGTTTCATCGGAATATTATTGGAGTGGTAAATGTAAAATAAATACCTCAAAACATGTCAAATGCTATCTTGGGACCTGACCAATCTTATTTAGTTTCGTTAACTAACAATACGGTTTCTCATAGCATCCGGAAAGCCGTGGCGCCGTATAAACAGCAGAAAAAATAGTACAGAAATTTTGGCGTTCATTTTCAAGCACCTCTCTCGCAGACCAGTCAACAGAATGTCGAGGTGGAGAGCGGTCCTAATAAGACGCTGATGGAAGGGAAAAAGAAGAGATAGAAGGAAAAGCTGGATGGCCATTGTTGCGGCCCTGCCCTTGCTTGCTTTTCAACATGATTTTATAACATTTCCAGCAGCATTCGTATGAAGAAGACGCCGCCTTCCGCCTCAATTAAAAGGTAAGTCACGACTGTCGTATTAGCCCTAAAATATCTTCCCTCGTTTTAAAAGTTTTTTTACTTCCCCATCAGTTCAGCCCATTGGCCTACTAAGCCTAATTCTGAAGGGTAACTTACCTTGACTTCAAAGCATTTTTTGTTTTGGAGTTGCCAGACCACGGTCATTGCCTTTGGGTGGGCGGGTCAAGAGAAATCGACCGGGAAGAAGTCTTGAAGGCTGTGACTTAACACCTTGCGGCAGTTCGGCTTCAGACCTTGTCGATTTCAATTCTTGATTTCTTCCGAACAGTTGGAAAATCAGGCTTTTCATTCAATTAATCGTCAGTATACTTATTTTTATACAGTATACTGCAAACGAATGGAAACTACAGATCGTGTATACTCCAAAAAGAATTCAGTATCCTTTTTTGAATTTTTTTAGTTTTATTATTTACAGCCATTGATCCGCCATAGAGACCTACAATTGCAAATTTGACCAAATTGGAAGCGGTAATATGGGTACCCAAAGTAGATTTTGCTTGCGTACGTCCAGTGAAACTTTTATGTTATAATATTCATAATAGCTGTATACAGTTTGATTTTAGAATAAACAATAAACTTGTTTCCATCAATTGCGGAACTTTTACTTCAAATGCAGAGCATAAATGCGTCTTACAAGGAAGGCGCTGTAAAGTTTGTAGGTTGGATCCAAACTAGACACATATAAAACCTGCCAAAGTTTGAGAACCCCGCTTTGCGGCTCAGCGATAGTTCGGTCCAACGGTACTTCATACCCAGAGGCGTAGCTAAAAGCGGGTACCCTAGGTCGAAGAAAAAAAAATGTTATTGGAGGATTTTTTTTGGCCAGCTGCGCCCCTGTTTGTGGCTCGATTCATCCGTATATTCTTGCCGGACTCCAGCAGAAAGCTGACTTAACGAAATAAAGACATTGATCGGGTCTACAAAGAGTTTGCGACCTATTTTGAGGTATTTTATGTGTACTCAAATCAATAATACCAGATGAAAAATTGCTTCACGTCCTTGACATTACAAATCTTTTCGAGCGATCTGAAGTAAGAGCACCAGCCGTTGGACGGAGAAAATATCTATAAGCCAGCCCTGACGCTCATAAATTACTACACTACAAATATTCTTTCATTTTCAATTTGACTAAACTTGGTTATGCACAACAAAACAAATTAGCAGCAATTTAGCGAGACGCAAGTTATTCGTGGTAAAAAACATGTCAGCTCGCGGAATGCCCAACCATCGCCATATTAGCAAATGAATACGACCAATTGTCCTGAGGAGCGTTTTGTTGTTGCCACTCTCCTCACCATTCTAACCGTGCCGTGTCTGGTGATACAAGGGCTTGTGGTGAAGGTGAGCGGAGATGCGGTTTTCGATGCGACATTGCGCTAATTCCCACAGTGGCGGACCTGATCCAATGGCAAAAAACGTACCATTTTGCACCCGGGAAGTATCAAAAAATGTAGCAAAATACCTCCCAAGTGAAAAAACTCCGATTTTAAAAACGCGCCCGCTCTTTTTGTGAGGGAAAGGGCGCGTCCTTCAAAAGGGGACGTTTTGCTAGTTACCGGAATAGTCAATTTGTCGGGAAAATAACGTGGATTTTTATCTCTCCCCAAAACAAAATTTGTTGAATATATAATACTTTTACCCATGGAAAACGCGAACCGAAAATTTGACAAACTTACATGTCAGAAGTCCCAAAAGCCTAGGAAAGCACAAGACTAACAGGGGAAGTACCCCAAGTGCGACGCTCAGATTTTGATGAAACTTGGCACAAATTTAGAATATTTTTTTCTAAAAAATATGCGAGAATCCTAGCTCGCGCTTTGCAGAAACAACCGAGATTTTTTGGTCGAAAGTTGGCGAAATTTTAACACTTTTTGTTGAATTTCGGCACGAAAAGTTTCATGCCTATTTCTACCAAAGAGAGTAATATTTCCACAAAAAATCAATTTTTTCCGCCCGAAACTGGCAAAGTTATGGCCAAAAAGTGTTTTTCTCTCTGACCGCTCTCCACGTTTAGCGTACTCTCTCAGCGGCAAAGATCGTTCAATATCTCGGCGGCGCTTGCAAAGCGCGAGCTAAAACTTTCAGGAATTGATATTTAATCTATGCCCGACGTGTGTGCAAAGTTTAAAGAAAATCTGAGCGTCGCACTTGGGGTACTTCTCTTGTAAGTAATATTTATACGCATTGCAGCTTATATGGGAACCAAAGACACATCGCGTCTCGATCACCTTTGACACGATGCTACGCCAATCGGTGATCAACTTTTTTCTTGTTGCGACTCAGCTGCCTTTGGTCTTCTACTCAATGTTTTGCATATCATTTCCGAGAGTTGATAAGGTAATTCGTGAGTGCTTCAAGCCGTTTTGAAACCTATTTTTCAGTACATTGCCTTCTTTTATATGTCCGCGTTTTATTCCATCGAGCCATATGGATTGGTTTTGACGTTGTCGCGCATCAACATCATTGTTATGAGAAATGTCATACCGGACGTTGCTTTGAAGGTAAGCAAGCTTCAAATGGAAGCAACTCATACAGTGAGGGACCGGATCCAATGGCAAAAAACGTCTCATTTTGCATCCCGGAAGGGACCAAAATGTCTCCAAATCCTTCCCTTCTCTAAGCTAAAAAACCCCGCCGTGAAGGAAAGGGCGCGCTTTTCAAAGCGGAGTTTTTTTAGCTTAGAGAAGGGAATGGTTTGGAGTCATTTTGGTCCCTTCCGGGATGCAAAAGGAGATGTTTTTTGCCATTGGATCAGGTCCATCACTGTAGCTCAGCGCCCAGAAAAAATGCGACACTTTTTTACGAACTTTAGGCCATGAAAAGTTTCACGCCTATTTCTAATATCTGCTCTAGTACCACAAGACACTGACAACGCATGTTTAGATGCTAAATTATCTGATCTTCCCGACTTATCTCCTCATTGTGGCCTTTATCACAGTTTTTCCCAACTCCCATTGCACAATGTTTTACTCGGTATACTCTTGGGAAGGGCCCGATGATTGTGTTGACTACAATATGTTCAACAATCTGACTAAAGCGGTGTATGTGATATTAGGCTTCAACCTTGCTGCGTATTGCACCATTTCTGGTTCCTTGATGGTTCAGGTAAGTGGTTTTTGAATAAAAGGTGTATCGAGAAACGAGGAATCTCAACGAAACAAAATTTCATTTTCAGCGCCGTCAAGCCGGACAGGCAAGCCGTCAAGCAGATTTGAAAGCGGAACAGAGGGTTCTACTCTCTACAATGTCCTCTTTTTTCTCATCATTCGTTTTGATCACCGGTAAATTGATACTAACCGGATCTTTGAACGATGTGACGTTGGCCAGAGTGGCATATCGTGCATTAGTGCTCATTTCAAGCAACGTGTTCTTGTTTTCGCTGGTTTTTGTGAACACGTAAGTCTTTCGAGCTGTTTCCAAAGTAACGCAGAGGATACTGTTGAACAGAAACGAATTGTTTCCGATATCTACATTTTTAGATCACTACGCAAAGGTGTGCTCAAGGTCGTCTGGCCGGGGTACAAAAATTCAACCAGAAAAACAATTTTTCTATCAAGCAAAGATACGACTACATCAAAAGTTTGATAACGCCCACCTAATGAGTAAGGAATCTTGAAAGTTGTATTGTGGTCTAATAAAGCTTTTCATTTCGACACGTTCACATGGCAGTGTGAAACCACCTTTATATGGCTATATGTGGAAAATGATTTATAAATATTGCTTCAATAACCAGCCCAAAGCGGCAAACTCAATCCAAGGTTGGACTAAACGCCGGCGGATATTGCTCATAGTTGGACTCATTTCAAAATTGCGCAAGATCCGACAGAATTTATTCCAAACCATACATGGCTTTTGTATCATCTTGCAAATTACAGTACCGAAATACCCGCAGAGAGGATATTACGGCACACCCTGTATACGATACAGAACAACGATGACAAAAAAATACAAAATATAGATGTAGTTGAAGTCCTCTGACCAAACTATGCACTTGACTACAATTCTCCCTTCATTACAGTTTTTGCTGTATCCGAACATACAAAACTCAACTTTTAACCACTAAGGTCAAGTTGATTAAGAAAATTTTAATGTGTAGAGATTTCGAGACGTACATAGCGACCACCAAAACATAAAGATGTATTTACAGATCCGTCTACCAGTGTTTACAACAAAGTGCGTAGATTTGTACGGGAAGAATCATCGGATAGACCGAGACGGCCGGGTTTAATTGTCGTTGAGTACCTGCACTTGATCCATAACGTATTTGTCATACCGTGGCGGACCTGATCCAGTGGCAAGGCACGTATCATTTTGCATCCGGGAAGTATCAAAAATGCAACAGAATACCTCCATCTCCAATTAAAAAACTCCCTTCTGAAGATCGCGCCTTATAAATCACATAAGGAGCGAGTGATCTTTCGAAATTGGAGTGTTATCTTCACTTGGAGAGAGAGAGGTATTTTGCTGCTTCACGGACACAAAATGGTACGTTTTTTGCCACTGGATCAGGTCCGCCAAACAAACAAGATATGGGTCAAATGCAGTACAAAAACCTAACGACAATCAAGTCCGACCGTCTCCGTCTATCCGATGATACTTCTCGTACAAATATACGCACTTGCAGTAAATACTGGTACTGGCAGACGGATCTCGGATAAATTGCAACGGAATTTCGGAATTCTTACAATTAGTATTGGATTACTGTTCGATCCGCTGGCTCAAAAGGGAGCCAAAGGATTTTTATAGCTTCTTTGCGTTATGCATGTTTTATTTTTACCAAAAGCTTTATTTTTGCGATTCAGATACTCAAAAAGAAGATGCTCCTTTTGAAGATATGACAATGATTCTGCCCTTTAAAAAGACAAAAGGATAACTAAAATTGTATCCGCTTTCTCCGAAAAGACCCCCTGGCACTCACCCCTCCCGTGGCACGGCCCCGGCCGTACCAACTCCAGGAATCTTGCCTGTAGAGACTGTAGGTGTCATCCGCGACCGCAAGATTACAACTTTGCCTGTTTTTACATTTCTGCATTCTCTTTACAAGTTTGGTTCAATGCTTCTACGCAATTTATGAACCTTATTGTAGGGACTCTTTAGGGTTCATACCTCTACGTTTTTACACATTTGTTACAGTCCGCATTCCCAAAGATACAAATACTTTGCTGCTTTGTATCAGTTCTAAGAGGGCGTTCAAAAATTGCACAAGTGTACTTATTTTCGGATCATTACATATTAGGGGCGTGCGTAGGCCGACCCTGGGGCGGGGAGTTTTTGAGAACGGATAGTCAGCTACACGTGGCGAAACTTTTTAAAAAGTTGTCGCTCTCTTCCCTTTTTTCATTGAGCAGATAAGGATGAGATTCATGATTTTAGGCATGGCACAGCAAGCTCACAGTTATTGTGGGAACGAACGCTTTATAGTCTCCTTCTTCTACGCCGTTTTGGCAACCATCTGCGCAACTGTTCAAACAGTCGTCATTAAAGTGATTATTCGGAAGCGCTTACATCGTGAATCGATTAGTTATGCGGCGATTCTACGGATTTGTTTTGTCAATCTGACATTTGTCTTGGCACAGTTGCCGATTATTGTCAATGGATTATTTTGCGTGTCCTGCTCTCAAGTCGATCGAGTATGTTGTGGGAAAGAATTTTAACTCAAAAGCTATTTTTTATTGGGGAAAGGGCCTAGATGTCGTTCAGTTGTGCAACTTATAGCCAAAGTGGGACTAAAATACTATCAGCGAAACGCACAAAATAATTTCATTTGCTTTCAGGTTGCAGTTATCTTCTACCTCACGGCTTTCTATTGCCTCGAACCCTACGGCCTTATCCTAACATTATCTCGGATCGACGTAGTCCTAGTCAAAGGTTTAATTCCGACTCGGCTTCTAAAGGTAAGAGAGCTCAGCCATTACCATTCCCTTTCCTTTAGACCCTGAATAACCTCATTTATCCGCTATACCTAGCGTTATTTATCTTCTGCACTATGCATCCTTTTTCCGACTGCCTCATGTTTTACGAGGGCTACAACTACGATCATGCGGCTAGTTGTGACAGAGATTGGATTTTGGATGGTCTCAGCTCCTCTGTTTACTTTTTCCTTACTTTTAATTTGATCGCTTACATAGCAATTTTGATCGTCTTGAGGATACGAGTAAGTTGCCGAGTAGGAGGAATGAATAGCGGAAGGAACCTTTCAAAACGTTTTTTACCGGAAGTTCAAGTAGCACTTGATTTCAGCAAATCTCGAGGGGAGAATTGTAGGCCATTCGTGAAACATTTTCCACAACCTTTCATTTGGAGCAAATCTTTGGTATTTGATCCAATATGCACAGCCAATGTTGTAAAATTGTTTGACCAGTTAGCCAATCGGTTGAAGAGAAAATCAAGGCTTTTTAATGGTTAGCCAAAAAACCTGGATCGACTAGCCAAAGCGTCGGAATGGCTTTGAAGCCTCAAAAAAGCCAGTCAAAAAGATGGAATGGGGGTCAAAGGGTAGGCCTGAGATCCCAATTTTATTTTGGCTAGCTTTTTTCGAGGCTTCAAAGCCATTCCGGCACCTTGGCTAGCCGATCCAGGCCTTTGGCTAGCAATTAAAACTTTGTCATTTCAACCCATTGGCTAGCTGGTCGAACAATTTTGCAACATTGGCTATGCATATTGGGACAATAACAGGTCTGTCCAAATGAAAAGTTGTGGAAAATATTTTCACGAATGGCCTACAATTCCCCCTCGAGATTTGCTGCCATTCTGCCACTTTGGCTAGGCAAGCCAGGCTTTTGGCTGTAATTTCAACTGGTTGGCTAGTTCGTCGAGCACTTTTGCAAAATTGGTTATACAGACTGGACCAATACCCTATCTGCCCCAAAGGAGTAGCCAAGTTTTCGTACATAAAATCTTTAAACATACAGTAGCTGCCAAAAAACTGTCAATTTTTTTGTTTTTTGTGTAACTCTGCTCAACGTGGACGGATTTCAACGAAACAAATACCATTCTGTAGAGAGTTACTGCTGTTATCTAATGGTGTAGCGGTTGGAGCGATTTTACATCTTAGTGTGTAACAACTGTCGATGTAAAATTTTTGGAAGGACAAAAAACTGTCAATTTTTCCAAAAAAATTTTACCGCTTGCATACGTCGCGGCAAATCATGGGCTTATACATTCCGATTTTTAAATAAAGTCCCACTGTACATAATTAACCATCAAAGGGAGCCAAGAAAGTTAATTTAGTAGACCTTTTGGTGGTCCCAAGTTCGATACCCCAAAACATGACGTTTAAGAAAAAATCGATTTTTTTCTTTGACTTAGCATTAACGCAATGCCTTGCAGTAGAAGCTAGACAACCTATAATTAAAATAGAACAATGATTGGGAGCCTAAATGTAAGTCTACGGACTCCACTTGACATTCAAGTTTTTCTGGCAGTAGATGTACCGTGAAACTTTAGCCCGGGTGCTTCCGCAGACACCTCTAATCGTAGTTCCAAAGCGACAGAAGGCACCCATGTTAACAGTGAACAGTTTAGAACCGCAACCGCGCCAGGCCCGTACTTTGCGCGTAAAATAACAAGCTCCTAAATGGAATTTTTGAAGAAAAATTGTTGTCTCGATTTTCACTCTCCATAGGATGGAAATAACCCAGCGTAAGGACAAGTAAGATGTTGTCCCATACATTTACAGCCATTCCTGACATTTCTAACGTAATTTCACTCCCTCTAACGTGTTTCTAAAGTCTTAAGCTGACTTGCAAGTTTCCACAAAAAATTTTTTTTGTTAATGACAACATAACCCTCCGTAATTCTTGTGTGACTTGCATCGCCGTCCTACAAATGCCCATAAAATGCTTCTAGAACATCTGTGATCATGTATTGATAAAGCATTAGCAAGTTGTTACAAAGGCGGGGGCAACAAGGCCAAGTCTCTACAGAAACTCGATTACCGGAGAAACTTGAATGTCAAGTGGAGTCCGTAGACTTACATTTAGGCTCCCAATCATTCTTATATTTTAATTGTAGGTTGTCTAACTTCTACTGCAAGGCATTGCATTAATGCTAAGTCAAAGAAAAAAATCGATTTTTTCTTAAACGTCATGTTTTGGGGTATCGAACTTGGGACCACCAAAAGGTCTACTAAATTAACTTTCTTGGCTCCCTTTGATGGTTAATTATGTACAGTGGGACTTTATTTAAAAATCGGAATGTATAAGCCCATGATTTGCCGCGACGTATGCAAGCGGTAAAATTTTTTTGGAAAAATTGACAGTTTTTTGTCCTTCCAAAAATTTTACATCGACAGTTGTTACACACTAAGATGTAAAATCGCTCCAACCGCTACACCATTAGATAACAGCAGTAACTCTCTACAGAATGGTATTTGTCTCGTTGAAATCCGTCCATGTTGAGCAGAGTTACACAAAAAACAAAAAAATTGACAGTTTTTTGGCAGCTACTGTATGCTTAGTACACAAAATTTTCCGTTTCAGCGAAGAAACGCTAAAATCGGCGCTCGGTCATCTCTTCGATCCGAAGAACGTCTACTACTCTCAACAATGTCCTCATTTATTGCAACTTTTGTCATTGTCACCAGTCAAATGGTCCTCACCGCCTACGTTAACTACGAACTCATTGCTCGGGTTGCCTACAGAGCAATGATCTTGATTTCAAATAATGTGTTTCTGTTTTCGCTCATTTTCGTTAATAAGTAAGTTTTTCATCAAAAAGGCAAGGCTTCAAAGCGAAAAAGTTCCAAATTTTTTCCAACTTTTGACCAAAAATCTCGTTGGTTTCTGCACGCATACGTTTAAAACAATTACTCTAAATTTGCGCCATGTTGCATCACAATCTGGGCTTCGCATTTGGACTAGACTTTTTTACAATGTTTTTCGTCGGTGAAAATAAAACGAACCTATTTTAGGATCCTTCGAGACGGAGTGCGCACGTTTTTCTTCCCATTCCTGAAAAGCCGACAACGCACTGCAACGTCTATTATGTTATTCTCAACCTACAGCAATGTTAAAAGAATCAATCAAAAAGCCTGTGACTACAACCGATCTTGCCGAACTTTCTAATTTTTTAAACCTATAAATATAAAATCTGCAGTAAATATGTTTGTCTGCATTGGTTTGGGAAGTAGCTATTTACCTGGAAATTTCCGAAAGTCACCGACTTCCCTCCACCATTTGGCTAGAGATTTCCTAGTACATGTTTTGCCGTCGTGCCTTTGGATTACAAGACTTAGGCCCTGGGCATCGACGTGATACCAGAGAATTTACAGCGACTTGTGCTTTCATCTGACGACATTTGAAAGCAATTCTTGTTCAAATGTGTAGCCTTAGAAAAATACAAAATCATTATAAGTGCATACAGTACAAGACAGGTCTCCGTCGTGAAGAGCGTTTCCAAGAAACCCATCTAGAGCCAAAAAAGTAATCGTAAAACCAATCAAAATAAAAAAAAATCAAGGGTTCTCAAACCATTAGTATTCAGACAAAATCAAGACCAAAAAAAATCTTCAAAGCCAGTTTATTTCAAAGCGGAAAGCAGTGACGGTCAGAAATCCCGGATCTTCTAGCGGCGTCTGGATGGTGCGGCCGGGCTCCGTCTGCGTGGACCGCGTCGGCTGAGGTAGCGCGGAGGGCGGGGAGTGTCCTTAGGGGTGACGGAGCGACGAGAGCGACGGGGAGCCGCACTGCCCGACGAGGAAGAGGAGCTGCGATCGCGGGCGCCACGGCCGCGCGTAAGGCTGCGACGGGGCATTTCCTCGACCACATCGTCCGCTCTGCAAGTATGTTCGTGATAAGAAGGGGTCATTCAACAAGTAGCTGACTAAAAATGCAAACAAAAAAAAACAAAAAAATCAACTCACTCCGAGTCCGAAAATGGGCCGCGAAGCGTCTTGTCGGGGTCGCTGAGTCGGTAGGAGTAGCGACGAGTTGGAACCGGAGTCTTGCGGTAGCTGGAGCGACTAAAAATGAAAAAAATCAAAAAAAAACTTCGACCTACCGAGAGTCGTTCAAAGGCAAGAAGCGTCCACGGGCATCTCGGGGCATGGCTTTGGCGCGGGCACTGCGACTCAGTCCAGAGCTTCGGCGAGGAGTGGTGCTGGGAGAGCGGCGGAACGAGGATTCGCCTTCAGGCGGGATCACCTCAACATCCTCGTCGAAACGGAGACGGCTGCTGAAGAAAAGTCAAGTCACAATACAAAATCTTAATCATAAAAAATTTTTCATACAACATTGTTCCCCAAATCGCTCAGAAAAAGTATTAACATGAGCTTTTCAGCAATCTATTTGGCATATTACATCACAACCTTACACTACCTAAAGTAATATCCAAATCACAAAATATTATTAAACAATGGTTGCCAACAACTTAAATAGTAAGATTATGCAATAATATCCTCTATTCCTCCTATTACATCCATTTTAAACCACACCATTCACCCCAGCAAACTTCACTTCCCCCTAAACTGCCTAAAGTAACATCACCTCATACCCCCACCCAACTTAGCACCTAATATCTCAAATCTTGTCCAAAGCTCTCCAATTACCCCCAAACTTACGCGCCACTGCGGCGACTACGAGAAGAAGAACGGCGACCAGAGGACATGGTCAAGTCAGTAGTCAGTAACGGTCGGGCCGGGTGGAGTCCAACTGAGCTCAGCCGCTCTGATCCGCTCCTTTTATATCACCATGAATTCACTCTGAAAGTTCAGTGAAAGGTTGGGAGAATTTTGAAATATTTCTTGAGATCTTTTAGAAATTTGAATATTTTTAGGAAAATCGGTGGGGCGGGAAGAGAAACCAAAAATTTTTTACCTCGTTCCCCTTAAAATTTTTTCCTTTTGTTCTTCGTAGCATCTAGTACTCCTATTTTACCAAATACCCAACTTTCAAAAGCGTTATCCACTTCGAGTTTCGACTTTTTCATCTGATTTCTACTCTAATATAAAAATCAACCGAGAAGTACCTAAAAACCAAACGAAAAAACTTAAAATAAACTTACAGAGCAGAATACAGCCAGATTCTTGTCCAAAACCTTCTTTCCCAGCCATTGCGATAGTATTTGACAACAGTATTCATCAATCTTCTCCATCACCACTTGTTCTCGCTGAAGGTTGCCGAAATGTCAAATAAAGGTCCCAAATATCAATCAGCTTCTCTTAGAGCTCTTCAAACTTTGTCGTCATAACAGAAAAAAAAGTAAAAATTTCCTTCATGGCTTTTGAAATTCATCTGAAATCAAACAATCATAGAAAAACGATGTCAGATGATGAACAATACATAGCAAAACACTAACTCAATATATAGGTCTTTGCGTCAACCTGAACCCATAAAGCACATGTAAAAATAGCGAATTACGTGTAATTACATGCACAAAACCTCGATTAGCAGGTTCCCGAACAGTTTCGGCGGTTGAAACAGAATGCCAAACTCGATTTGGCATTAAATGTTCTCGTTGCGGGACGTGCGGTAATCGTCAGTGTGGCCATATACCAGCACCAAAAAACGACAATGCCATCAAATGCTGCTTTTTTTAGGTCAAGTTAGCGAAGAATAGATCAAAAGAATTTTTTCACAAGATTTTCCGAAAAAATTGCATAAATTCTCACGAAATTTGCATAATTTTTTCGAACGCAAAAATTATTTTCCACGTAAACTGGAAATTTCATTTCACTCCCTTTCCTCCTGTTAGCAGTGGAGCGGTGCGGACGTTTTTTCTTCCAAAAAAATCAGGTACCATAATCAAGGATGAAGAAGTCTGGCTTCGCGAGTGGTGAGGAGCGCGAGAGTCGGGAGCAGACCAGTAGCAGCGGCAGCAACAGCCAAGTGAAGAGGCGGGCAATGTCCAGGAAGGGGACTATTGTAAGTTTTGAGGGGATTTCATTTGGAAAATTTTGGGGGATGTCGAAGATTGGGTCTTGAGACGAAAACTTGAAAAGCGCTAAAATTGCTCGTAAATTGTTCCAAATGAATTTTTGTGGGATTTCTAATTTTCTTATAATCTGATAAATTTTGATTTTGTAAATTTTAAGCATCTACTGTTACAATGCCGTTTTTTGCAAAATTTTTGGGTCCCACCACGAAAACCCCAAATTTTTTAAAAGTCCAAAATTTAGTGTTAGACAGCCTCGCAATTTATATTTCGAGTATTTTTAGGCTAATTTTCTTTCCGTCCCCTCTAATTTTCTAATCTTTGGTCCCACCACGAAAACCTGAAAGCGCAAGAAAACTGAAAAATGAGATGTTATAGAGTCTGTAGCACTTGCCTAGACTTTTTAGAGTCCTTTTACACAAATTTTTCGTTTTTTTCGCAATTTGACATACACCATGTTTCAGAGACGGCGCAGTGGTACCGCCAGAGATCGCGCACCCCCTGCGGATTGCTCAGATGAGACTTCCGGCTCCCGCGCAACGACTCCGAACAGAAGCAACCTACCACTTCCGGTGGAGAAGGGAATCGACGCCTTTCTGAGTGGATTGGTCAAACTGGGTAAGTGGGAAAAAGTTTTTGTACGGAATTTTTTGTAAAATACGTTTGTAGAAGGTCGCAACACGAAAACCTGAAAATCAAAAAAGTTTGAAAATTTTATTAATGAGATACCTGGGGTGAGAGGGAGAGGCCGAGTTTGTTTTTTTAGTTCGTCTCTTTTATGGTGTGTTCTGTACATTTTTACTTTGGGTCCCACCACGAAAAACTGAAATTTTTTTGAAAATTTTGTCAGTGAGATGGGATGAGACGGGGGAAACTAAGTGTGTTTTGAAAATTTTTATCTCTTCTGCAGTCATATTTACGGTGTATTTATACATTTTTTTGATTTTGGGTCTCAACACGAAAACCTGAAAATTTTTAAAAGTTTGAAAAATGGGGAGAATAGTGGCCTTAGAGGTCGAAAATGACTTTTTAAAAAAATAACGCTTGAGTTTATACCTAAAATCGGTTTATTTTCAGGAGTTGAAGGTCTCCGTCAAGAATTTGCGGCCCTCAAGGAAGTCCAATCGCCCGACTACAAAACCGACGCATTTTTGGCCAACAAGTCCAAGAATCGGTACCGTGACGTCTTTTGCACCGATCCCACGCGCGTAGTCTTGACGTATAACGTCCCGCCGGACGGGGATTACATCCACGCGAACACGGTGGTCATTGATGGCGCCGAGAGAAATTACATCGCGGCGCAAGGCCCCACCGACGCGACGGTCGCCGACTTTTGGCGAATGGTTTATCAGCTGAACGTGAGCACGATTGTGATGTTGTGCAAGGTGGTGGAGGACAACAAGGCCAAGTGCGCACAGTATTTCCCGATGACTCCGGGAAAGAGCGAACAATACGGAGTCATGGAAGTGGACTGCAAAAAGGTGAGGTTTTAGAGGGTATTGGGGGGAAATACATGTGGAGTTGGGGGATTTAGGAGGTTGGAGTGGTCGCTAGCAATTTTTTTTGACAGATTTTTTGAAAATTTTTTGAAAAAAATGGGAAAATGGTAAGGGGGGACCAAGGTGATTTTTCAAAAAATTTTTTTGTCTGTGCTTTCTAAATACTTGTAAAAAGTTTAGAACAGATGTTTATGAGAGATTTATGAATATTTTAGTTTGCGATTTGGGGGAAAACCAGCATTTTTAAGTCAAAAAATGTAAAAAAAAATATTTTTTTTCAGGCCGAAACCGAACATGGAATGATGACCTACACTTTGGAGGTGCTCCCAGACGGATATAATGCGAGCTCGGTGATTGCCAAAATTTATCAGATGACGGATTGGCCGGACCGCTCTGTCCCCAAGAACGCATCGCCCGCCCTGCGATTGCTGGAGGTTTTGCCGCAAGGCCAGGTTCTGATCCATTGTTCGGCTGGAATTGGACGGACTGGAACGATCATCGCGATTGACTCGGTTTGCCAGAGATTGATGAGAGGAATCGAAACAACGGTAGGGATTTTTGGGATTTTTTGAGGGAAATTTTGATTTTGAAATTTTTGGAAATTTCAAAAATATATTTTTTTAATTTTTTGAGGGGAAATTTTGATTTTTTTGGGTTTTTTGAAATTTCTTGAAATAAAATATTTTTTTACAATGTTTTTTTTTTGATTTTTTGGGTTTTTGAGGGAAAATTCATGATTTTTTTTGGGGTTTTTTTAATTACGAAAGTATTTTTTTACAATTTTTTTTTATTTTTTGGATTTTTTGAGGGAAAAGATTGATTTTTTTTGGTTTTTCGAAATTTTTTGAAATTACGAAAATGTTTTTTTACAATTTTTTTTTGATTTTTTGGGTTTTTTGAGGGAAAATTCATGATTTTTTTTGGGTTTTTTTGAAATTACGAAAATATTTTTTTACAATTTTTTTTGATTTTTTGGATTTTTTGAGGGAAAATTTAAATTTTCCTTGATTTTTTTTTGGATTTTTTAAACTTTTGAAAGAAAAGTTTTGTTTTATTTTTTTTATTTTCCAGATTTTCGAGACCGTCAAACAAATCCGCGCCCAGCGTTGCCAAGCCGTCCAGACCGAGGCCCAATATGTTTTCATCGCGTTTGCGTGCGTCGTCTTCCTGAGAAGAAAGTCTGCGGCCTTCAAACCGCTCTGTGACGCCTTCTTCGCTGAATACAGAAAGTATCGAAATGCCAATTGAATCTTGATTCTGGATTATTTTTGGATTTATAGGACATTTCAGATAAAAAATATTATTTAAAAAATTTTTGGGGTTTTTTATTTTTTTATTTTTTTATTTATTTTTTTTTTTGAAATTTTTAATTTTAAGATTTTCCTATATTTGTAATTTTTGAAATTTTTAAAATTTTTAATTTTCCGACTTTTTCATTTTTAAAATTTAAAAATTTTTTAATTTTCCGATTTTTTTATTTTTGAAAGTTTTGAAATTTTTAATTTTTCGACTTTCTTATTTTTTTTAATTTTTCAAATTCTAAAAATTTTTATTTTTTCCGATTTTTTCATTTTTTTTGAAATTCCTAAAACTTTCAATTCTCCGATTTTTTTATCTTTTTTTTATTTTTGAAATTTTGAAAATTTTAAATTTTTCGATTTTTTTATTATTTTAAAAATTTTCACAAAAAAAAACTAAAATTTAAGTGCATTTTTTGATGTCATGGTCCTCCTTGTTGTTGAATGGCTCCACATAAATCCCATCTTCAATGCATTCCTCCGATTTTCCCTTGGCAACGATGTACTTGATGTCGTAAATGGTTCCAGCGGTTTGCTGTGATCCGGCCCACTTGATCCGCTTGAAGGTGTAGGCTCCCTTGTGTTGGGCGTTGAATTTGGCAAACGATTTTTTGGCAAGTTTCTGAAAAATTGCGGTTTTTACAAACCACTTTTCCAATTTTGCACTGTGCAGAAAATAAAGCAAAATGCACGGTGCGTTTGCGACAAACAAGCGGAGAAAAGGCGAAATGCACTGTGCATCGAAATAATTAGTCCTTCCGGAAAGTCGCCGAACTGAAATCGGGGACACGCACTGTGCAAAAACAAAAAGTTTCTTTGCACTGTGCAATTTATCGCTTTTTGCACCGTGCTTTTTTCGGTGTCGCTCGCACCCTGACTTTTTTTTCGCACAGTGCAAACGTCAAAAATCAGTCCGGAGACTTTCTGGAAGGCCTAGTGAAAGGAAAAAAAGTCTACGCACTTTGTGAAAATATTATAGTGTCGGACCTGATCCAGTGGCAAAAAAGATATAATTTTGCCTCCCGGAAGTATCAAAAATGTGGCAAAATACCTCCATTTCCAATTGAAAGACCCGATTTTAAAAGCGCGCCCGCTCTTTTCTTGCATCCGGGAATTATCAAAAATGTGGCAAAATGCTTCCCTCTCCAAGTGAAAAAACTTCGTTTTGAAGGGCGCAAAACCCTTTCCCTCACAAAAAGAGCGGGCGCGGTTTTTAAATTGGAGTTTTTTCACTTGGAGAGGTAGGCACTTTGCTACATTTTTGATACCTCTCGGATGCAAAATGGTACGTTTTTTGCCGCTAGATCCGGTTCTCTACTGTGGCACAAAAAAAACTGCAAGTTCCCCCAATGGATTCACTTACGACAATTTCCGGGTTGGTGATGCTGACTTCTCCCAGGCCGTCCAACGGCGGTGGTTGCGGTTTGCATTCCGCCGCAATCACCATAATCAAAATGCAGACTGCAACAAGTTTCGAAGCCATCTCAAAGTACAATGTATTCCAAACATCACAAGGAACTTCTTATATACTCTTTGATACTACCTACGCATTTGTTGACAAATAAATCTTACATTTCGCTGAATTTATTTGTTCTTGGAAAACGGCAACCGGGAAAACTAACTTATCATCTTGTTTATGTGTTCAGAGAAACGTCGAAAGTGTAGAAAAACCATCCGTAATATTTTTTACTTTTCACTTTGAACGGAGAAGTTGAAAAAAGAGTCAAGGTTACACTGGGAATTGGTTGTTAAAAGTGCAAAGAGCGCTCGAAAAAATCCGGTCCATTTACAGAGGAAGTGCTCCAAGTACGACGCTCAGATTTTGATGAATCTTGGCGCAAATTTGTAGATTAATTTTTTCTAACAACAAACATATCCGATGCAACATAGTAGCGCGTGAATTGCAGAAAAGACCGAGGGTTTTTTTGGTAAAAGTTTACAAAAACGCGACTGTTTTTGCAAATTTTAATAAAATTTAATAAAATTAAATTCTTGTGAGAGCCATGTTTTCGCAAAAACTCAATTTTTCTATGCTTTGCAAAGACAACCGAGAGTTTCGCAAGATGTAACTACACAGTCCGTTTTTCAATCGCTCCGTGACAACTCTTTGTCGCGTAAAGGCGATACCAAGAGCATGGTGCAACTGTCAATCATTTTTTGACCCAAACAACACCAGTCTGTCGGAAAAATAATGAGCACCTACCGTATCAAAAATCTCATCGTCGCCGAGAAAGTAAATTGTGTCGCGGCAAAATCAAATTGCTTTCCACTTCAGCGACGTGATTGGTGCAGCGACATCGCGGTCATTACCGTAATTTTTCCGACAGACTGACTTGAAAAAAAATTTTATTAAATGGCTCACTGTACTGGAGAAAAAAAAACTCGTTTATTATTACTGTCTTATTCACACTTTTTAAAGTCATGCGTGTCTTTCTTGGTAAAAGGCGCCACAAACGCGTTGTCGCGAACGCATTCCTCGTCCTTTCCTTTGGCAACAATATAATCAATTTGGTACATGGTTCCCTCGGCTTCTTGGGATTTGGCGCTCTTGATCTTTTTGAACGTATAGGCTCCATTCTTGTCGGCGTTGAATTGCTTGAAGGACTTTTCGGTAAGGGCCTGAAAAAAATTACGATAATTTTCTTTGAGACACATGCGATTTCCTAGCTCGCACTTTGCAAAATCGAACGAGATTTTTAGGTGGAATGTTGGAAAAAAGTTTACACCTTTTTTGCAAATTTTGGGAAGTTGAGAAGTCGCATGTCTATTTTCCTACCGTAGAGGGCACTGTTGACACAAAAAATCGATTTTTTACAAAGTGGCAAAAAGGTTTTATCTGACCGCTCTCCTTTTTTCCTATACTCTCTCGGCCGTAAAGATCGTTGAATATCTCGGCTGCCCCTGCAAAGCGAGCCCAAACTCTTAGGAATTGATATGTGGTCTATGCCAGACATTTGGGCAAAAATTTTAATAAAACTCCGAGCTTGAAATATAGTCTTTTCGGAAGTTGCCGGACTGATTTCTAGCGGTTCCACTGTGCGCAGAAAGTCAGCGACACCTGAAAAAAGCCTATTGCACGACGCAAGAAGCAAGAAGTTGCAAAGACAACTTTTGTTTTCGCACAGTGCGTGTCGCCGATTTCAGTCCACTTTCCGGAAGGACTTGTACACCCTCTCGGCCGAAGGAATCGCAAAAAATAACATTTAAAAATCTTTGGCCAACTTACAACAACCTCCGCATTGTCTATGGCAATCGGAGCAAGCCCGTCAACCTGCTGCGCATCAGATGCTTGGAGCATCAACAATCCGATGGAGAGACATACAAGAGTTGCGTACAAGGTCATTTTCAAAGACCACAATCTGAAGAAATCTCACATTTTGGTCTTATTATATACCGTGTCGCCCACGTATCTCTTGTTTAATGTTAAATTGATGTTTTCAGAGAAAATCAGTTCGGAAAACATTTGTTACTGATAATGGATGTGTTATTTGTTATTGAAAACCGGTAAGTTGCCGAAAACGCTGCATCTCCATTTACACTACTGAAGTGGGTGTAAAAAACAAATTTCCCTGCAAAAACGTTGAAATTCCGATCTTACACTAGAATTGATACCTAAAATAACATTTTGCCATGAATAAGCCAACCATCAATCTAAGCAATCAAATTCCACATGAAAATGGAAAATATGTGCCCAAATCTTCTAAATGGCCGAACTTGTCATCCATTTCGACGAATTTCTGGGTGCACTAGCACTTTGACTGGACACGACCGATATGCCGCAGAGTTTGGTAATCGGTGGTGCTGAGACCTGGGGCGCTCGGCCGAGAGTCCTCTTTCCTCTCCAAACAGCCATGAGCGGGGGTCATGCGGCTAGCACGAAGTTAAGGCGGGTCAACGAGGTCGCCAACGTGGGCAATGTAGCGAAAGCTCACCTCTATACCGCGGTCGTGCGCTATGGTTCCGGTTGAAAACGTCCCACGTGCTACCCGCGGGTTATGAGATCAAAACACACAAAAAATTTTCAGCTTCACTACGTAAGCTTTCGAAGATCCTGCATGGTAAGAATCCCTCCCGGGCCACCATTTCGTCCCATCTCTTCTTCTCCATTCCTTTGCATTATTCAAAAGACTCTAACGAAATTTTTGAAACTTCTTTGGCCATTGACAAGGCATTTCTAATGGATTCAATAATGCTCTCCGCTCCTTGACAACCCGATCTCAAACTTTCTGTTTTGACAACCTTTTCTGACTTTAACCTCGAGTTCCGTGGATGCCGAAGCGAAAGATTGATGTGCGCTCGACGGTTGGCGATATTCTCGACGACTTCGCCGAATGGACCTCGATTCACGCTGTGCCGCACATCGCGCTCGCCGACACCGTATGCATCGCGCTGTTCTGGACGGTCGTGTTCGTGGTGTGCGCCGCACTCATGGTCTACTTGATTTACACCTCGATCCACAACTTTCTGAGCTATCAAACAACGCTGACGCCGAGGCGGGTCAGTGGGGAGCAGAACTTTCCGTGCGTCACCATTTGCAATGTCAGCCCGTGGAAGCTGTCCAAGGCGCCGGGGACGGATTTGGAGGCGTTGGTAAGGGGTTTGGTTAGGGTCTGGAAAGTACCGCAACGCTCAGATTTTGATGAAACTTGGCACAAATTTAAACAATTTTTTTGACCGAAGTTTTCCCTCTATTCAGATACAAAAAGCATTTAAACTCGAAACTTTTCTTTTATTCGTTGTAAAATTGCAGATAGAAGCCTACAATGCGAACGCAGTCTCATCGACTTACGGCTTTGATAAGCCTTTCACGATGCGGGAGGCCATGCGAGCCCACCGATGGACCGAGTTTATGTTTGAGGTGTTGAAAGAGGCTGATGTAAATGTGCGTTTACTGCTCTACACAGTCATGAACTCTATTTGTTTTAGGGCTCAGCAAACTTGTCCTTCGACTTTCAAGATGATTTGTTGGTTACGTGCGAGTTCTTGCAAAATGATTGCAATTTTACGTACGTTTTTTTTGGCGTTTTGGTTACTTTTCTCTCTAATTTTCCGCGGAAAAAACAGATTTTTTATGAAAACATTGCACATCGCCAAATGTTCATAAATTTTCATTCTTAGCAACAACATAAAGTTCTTTTACGACGCCTACTTTGGGAAATGCGCGATCCTCAACTCCAATGGGACGTGGAAAACGACGCGCGCCGGCCCCTACTACGGTCTTCGGATCACGCTTAAGACGCCGAGCAGTGAATACCTACCGTGGGTTCAGGACGCAGGAGTCGTCTTCTATGTTCACGGAACTGGCGAGACCCCTTTTGAGGACACTTTTGGATACCTCGCAAAAGTGGGAAGAGTCTCGTCGGTGGGAGTGAAGTATTTTGAGAGGAAAAAGTTGGGCCATCCCTACTCGACTTGCGTGAATAATGCGACGGATTTGAACGACTATTATGGGAATAAATACGAAGTGAGTTTCTATGTAAAATTTGAAAATTTTCTATAATATCAGTCTGTCGGGAAAATAATGAGCAATCTCTGCCCTATCGAAAACCGCATCGCCGTGGAGAAAATGAAATGTGTCGCGGCAAAATCAAATTGCTTTTCACTTCAGCGACATGATGTTCATTATTTTCCCGACAGGCTGATATGAGAAACGTTTGAAATAAAAAATATTGGTTTTACCTGCAAACAGTCCCATCCCAAATGCTCTTGCAAGATCTTTTAGCGGTTGACGCAAGTTCTTTTAGCGGCCCAGTTTCTTGCCAGACGTTTGAGGAAGGACCGGATTTTGGGAAAACGAAGCGCAGGAAACCAATAAATTTTCGTTGTATCAGGCTGTCAAAAAAATAATGAACACTATTCGCATCGAAAATCGCGTCAATGAAGAGAAGAGCGATTTGATTTTCGGCGACACAATTTATTTTCTCAGCGACGATATGATTTTCGATGCGATAGAGTGCTCATTATTTTCCCGACAGACTCGTAAATTCCACTGTGTTCTTCAAAGTTCCTTATTTTTAGGTCGAAGCCTGCATTCGCAGCTGCCTTCAGGACGCGATAATTTCGAGCTGTGGTTGCTATGATCCACAATACAATTACCCGTCGGACGTCTCCGTCTCCTCTTGCTACAAGAGCAACGACTCAAATACCGCAAGTAAGTTGGCATTGTTTGCATAAAAAATGTATAACGTAAAAAATTTCTCCTGCATTACTTATAAAGTTCTCGTTTTTAGTGGACTGTGCGGACGAGATTATCAACGAAAATGGAATAACAAATACCACGGAAGCGTTCAGTATCAGTTCTTGTAATTGTCCGCCAAGTTGTGAGTAAGTCTGTTTTGTCTGTAGGATCTTTAGAGCAATTGCTGTTTAATGCACTTGAACTGCACTAATCCCAAGATTTACGTGGCCAAAATTTAATGAACATGGTGTTTTGTCGCAAATAGAATTTTGGAGAAGTCTTATGGCTGTGTTTTCTTGTCTAGCCGAGACAAACCCTTGCTTTCCGAGAAGAAAATTTTTGATTTATGACCTCGTTCACACATTGGTACAGGTTCTCAAAACCTTCAATAAAATCACACAATCAATGTCGCACTTGGCAAATTTCTATAGTTGATCACTCAAATTGCTAAAGTCTTAATTTGTTCGAGGCGCTTTGGCCCACGTAGCCCCATTTTCATTTTTCAGCCAGTCGTATTATCAAATTTCCATGTCGCAGGCGGTATGGCCGGCCAGATCGTATACGGTGAGTCGTCGACGCTGACGTTTGTTATGACTTTCATCTCCTTTTCGAAGCCCTGGTAGACCCATGACTCGGTCCTCAAGAATTTTTTTACTTTGATTGTGCTATTAGTTTGTCGGGAAGATAATGAGCGCAATGTCGTTGCACCGATCGTATCGCTGAACCGAAATGATGCAACTTGATTTTGTCGCAATACAATTAACTTTCCCGGTGGCGATGCCATTTTCGATGCTACAGAGTGCTCATTATTTTCCCAGCAACTGATATAATATTTCAGCCGGCTCAATGTCTGAACATGAGCGAATCCACAGCGTTTTGGACGACAACCGCAGAATGCATTGCCTGGTACAAGAACAATACCGTTTTGATCGAGATCTACTATGAACGAACCTCCTGGCAAAGCAGTGTTGAGACGGCCTCGTATACAGCAAGTTTTAAGCGGCTCTTGGCCCTTTCGTTGTCACCCTAAAAACATGTTTTCTTTCAGTTGGTAAATCTGATCGCTGATACTGGAGGCCAACTGGGTTTATGGCTTGGGATGAGTGTGATTTCGATATTTGAGTTGGTAACTCTGGGAGCCATCTTGATCGCATATTACATCATCAAACCTGACCCACCAGATCTCGAGAATTACGATTACTTTGATCAGTTTGATAGTCAGGTAAGGAGGGCACTAAACGGAGAAAAATTTGGAACCCTTGTTGAGCAGTTACACACCAAATTTGTAATGATGGTCGATTCAAAGGCGCGACGACCTTCCACGTTTTTTAACGATAGACTGATACAGTGAGGGACCTGATCCAGTGAAAAAAACGTTCCATTTTGCATCCGGGAAGTATCAAAAATGTCGCAGAATGCTTCCCTCTCCAAGTGAAAAAAAACTCTAATTTCAAAAGCGCGCCCACCCTTTTTGTGAGGAAAAAGAACACGCCCTTCAAAACAAAGCTTTTTCACTTGAAGAGGGGAGGTATTTTGCCACATTTTTTATGCTTCCTGGATGCAAAATGGTACGTTTTTTGCCACTGGATAAGGTCCTTCACTGTAGTTATTTTATGTTAACTTTTTTGGAGACTTTACCGAACTCCAACTAAATAATGTCAAAATAAAAAAAAAACTAACGTCCCAACTCGAGCCGGGTGTCGCAAGGCCGATAAAATTTCGTTACGTACCATACCGACTACCCACGGCGAAAATCAGCGACTAAAATGTCAACAATGACCGTTTGAAAATCTTGAAAGTGTTTATGACTGAAGACTTTGCAATTTTTTTGTAACGCAATGAATTCATTTTTCTTTAATTTTCAGTTGAAACTCCAACAAAAATCGCTGAACAAACTCAACAGCCGCGACTCTCATATTCCCCCGATGATTGCTGAAGCGGCTCCAGTGCCCGCCGTCACCGATTTGGGCTCGATTCATGACTATGGCAAGGAGAGTCAGAGCGCAGACTCCAGGAGGGTCGCCAGCAATGACTCAAAACCGCCAATGGAGCATGCTGGCAGCAGCACTTCATTGCTGAATAGTCAAGACAAAAAGAGTCAATAAAAAATTTGATTTTCATAATGTTTAGCAGATCAATATTGGATTAAATAAAAACCATTTATTAATTATGAAATATTTTAAATATTCAAAATCACATACGGCAAAATTGAGAATTTGGCAGACGAAAATAAAAATGGCAAATGGCCGGAGGGCCGCGCAAGACAACGAGGTGACAATTGGCATTGTTTTGGACCTCTAAAACGGGACTTTTCGAGGAGCTTGGATACTGTAATTTTCGCAAAAATATCTTGAAACTCCAAAAAAACAAAAGGTTTTTGGAGTTTTCAAAAAATTTCCGACAAAAAATCGGTCTCCAAAATCCGAAAAAAATCCACAAAAATCGGAGAGTATTTGATTATTTCTTTGGCTTTTACACACTTTTGGCACTTTTCCAGGGACATTCCTAAGTGTTTTCGACGGGACATTGTACCAACATTGGGGGTTTGGGAAAGACTTTCGCACCGACTCAGCGTCGGAAAGTGAAACGGGACGTTGAAATGTGGAGGGGATTATCGTGGAGTAATCGAAAAATCGGAGTAATTGGAGAACAATGGAGGAGGCAAGAAAAAAGTTAAAGGATACAATTGAACATGCAAAATAAAATTGAGTTAATCGTAAGCAAAAATATTTTGCCGGAGGGGATTTTTGGGTATTTTTGGAAAAAATGCCCAAAAATTGGCCTTTTTGCTTCAAAAAATAATTAGTTTTGTGCTATTTTGCTGTGCAAACAGATTTTGTGACAGTTTCACGCAAAGGTATCAAAAAGTATCAAAAGGTATCAAAAAGTATCCAAAAGTATCAAAAGGTATCCAAAAGTATCAAAAGTGATCCCGCCTTTTTTGAAGCATTTCAGACGCCTCTGTGCAAATTTTTCCAATATTTAGGCCTTTCTTCCCCTCCAACACTCAAAAAATTGAATTTAGTTACAAATTAAAAGATACCATAGAACCTACCACAACGACAAATAATGCACAAGACAACGTAAAATGAAAGACATTTTCGGGAGTTCGCAATTGAAGGACATTTTCGGGCTGTTTTCATTTGATTTGTGAGAAATTGAGTGAACTGACAAGGCAAAATGTGTAAAACGCAGATTTTACAGTGCAAAAAAATTACTCAGTAAGACTCGGAGTGAGTGAAAATTCGATTTGGCCAAATAAAAGACAGTTATATCCAAATCTCGCACGGACTAAAGCGACTATTTTCCAACTAAGCGACTAGTACAGTGTGAAGTGACCTCTCAGATCTGAGTGGATTTGCGCGCCTGGATCGGGACCTTGGACTTGACGCTGGAGCCGGAGGACTTGCGACGGATCAGGATCTTGGACGGCTCGGGAGTTTCGGCTTCCGTTGCCGATGCTCGTCGCATCGAGGTAGAGGAGGGATAGCGGATCGGAGTCGAGTGGGAGGTCTCCGTGACGTCTTTCTGAAAAATTACTGTGAATAAAATGGCTCTAGATTTAGTTACTCTGATCTTTAGCGGGCTACAGTGGGGGACCTGATCCAGTGGCAAAAAACGTACCATTTTGCATCCGGAAAGGATCAAAAATGTGGCAAAATGCTTTCCTCTCCAAGTGAGAAAAACTTCGTTTTGAAGGGCCCTTCACAAAAAGAGCGGTCGCGCTTTTGAAATCGGAGTTTTTTCACTTGGAAAGCGAAGCATTTTGCCACATTTTTGATACTTCCCGGATGCAAAATGGTACGTTTTTTGCCACTGGATCAGGTCTCCCACTGTATCAGGTCCTACATACTCAATAAAGTCTCACATACTCTATGAAAAGTCAGGTTTACTGTCTATCTACAAAAAAAAACGATCCTTTCCCGATCTGGTCTCAAAAAAATGTTGTTGAAAAACGTTTATTTTAGCTTGACCGGCGGCCCCTTATCAGTCTGTCGGGAAAATAATGAAAAAGCTGTCTCATAAAAAATCGTATTGCCGCTGAGAAAGCGAGTTGTATCGCAGCAAAATCAGATTACTTTTCACTTCAACGATGCGACTAGCGCAATGCTCATTGTTTTCCCGACAGACTGATATTGGGATACCCTGTACAATTTTTAGCCTTCTTTCGAGCAATTTTAGACTTATTAAAATACAATACTTGCTCCGTCGTATTTTACAAGAGTAGATCTCCTCTATAGCCCTTATTCAAAGGCCCTTACAGCCCTTACAGTAAATCTCACTCACCTCTTTCGGAGTGCCCTCCTGATCCAGACTTTTATTCGGTCTCACATAATGCGTTCTCCACGACTTTCTCCTCACCACCCCCATCGAACTGACCCGGCTCAAGCCGGGCGGAGCCGTCGTACTCGCCGGACTCTGATGTATTATACTGCTCTGCGACTGATTCGAGCTGGACGAGCTGGAATTCTGTGATTTGAGTTTCGGCGCGCCCTCAACATCACCAGCGAAAAAAACCGGAGGTTGTTGACGTGCTGGCGGCGTGGCAACGATTGGCGCGTCATCATCGTCCCCGCTCTGATGTTGGATCATTTGAAAGGGCAGTCGGGGGGTTGTTTCGCCGGTTGCGGAGAGCGCCAGCGGCACGATTTTGTCCTTCTTCTCCTCCTGATCCGAATCCACCGGCATCGGCGAGGGCTGTTGTTGTTCGACGGATGAGGCCGGAGAGTGGCTGGAAGTCAGCGAGGAGACCGTTCTCATCTCCTCGCTGGAGCTGAGCAAGTTCATTTCCTGGTCCGGGATTTTCAAGCGCATCGGCGACACTCGAGTCGAAGTCGAGGTTACCGTAAACCGAGTGGTCTCAAAGTCGACCGACTTGGAGTTCCCGTTGTTCTTCTGCGGCATCACCGGCGACAGAAACCACTCGGAGCGGGTCCGCATCCGCTTCGTTTGCTTCTCATGCACCCATTCCAAATATGTGAGGGATCTTGTGCTCTCCACGGAATCAGCGCCTCCATGAAGCGTCGTCAGACATAGGCGACGCCTCTCGACCTCGAACTCGTCATCAGGACGACTTTGCATGACTTCGCCGAGAGAGGAGGAGAGTCGATGTTGTTCGGTGAGGTCGGCAAACTCGCGCGAATCCTGCTTCCGGAAGCGTTGCCCTGAAAAGTCTGCGGGTGAATGATTTGGTAGGAGGAGAGGTAGAGAAGGTAAAAAAGGGAAGATATTCCGGCTATTTATTATCCGTCTGTCGGGAAAATAATGAGCAGTCTGTCGCATCGAAAATCGCACAAGAAAATTAACTGTATCGCGGCAAAATCAAATTTCTTTTCTCTTCTCCGACGTGACTGGAGCAGCGACACTTTTGCTCAATATTTTCCCGACAGATTGATATGCGAAACGTATCGGTCTGTCTGAAAAATAATGTGGATTTGACGCAGCAAAATTTCTCGCCTCGTCGCACTCTCAAAATCCTCAGCAGCGGTTAGCCGTCGCAAAGTAATAATGTATGATTCCAAAGGGCGTAAATCCACATTATCTTCCCGACAGACTGATGTATGGTGTGTGACCTACAGATTTTGCAAAAGAAGATACAAAGTTCGTCCAGTTTTTTTACGGCTTCTTTGTGAGATTTGTTTTGTGCTTTGTAAGCCAGGCCGGGATTTTCTACGGGGAAAATTGTAAATTTACGCCTTTTTGCTGGTTTCAGGCAAATTCCTGGGGTAATGTATATCCTTTATCTTTAATAATTGAGCTTAATATTACCATTAAATTTTGCAATATTTGCTTACTAAATCCTAGCTCAGAACATAGTAAAAACAGATATTTTAAAATACGACGGTTGCACTGCCCCTTGCTATAACCCTTCCAAAAATCCAACCCAACTCACCGCCAGACGAAGAAGCCCTTCCTCGCGCCGAATGCGAGGTGCTTTGATACGCCGGCAGATACTCCGAATACACATCCTCCTCTTCCACATCGCTGTTCTCGGCCTCGGTAATCGCGGGATCCGTGTGATGTTGTCGAGTGACGGTCTTCTGAAGTCCGGACGGGCCGGGCTGATCCTCCTCCTCGTCCAGCTCCTTGTCCTCGTCGCGCGATGGGTAGATCTCGGGCTGACTGAACGTTCCTACAAAAATACCAAAGTCTAAAGTCTTTTCGCTCTCGTAAGTCGTAAAAAACTGCTTCTTATCCAAAATGTCATTGTTTCTCGATCAAAAAACGGCTTAGAAATGTCATGATGATTATTATTTATTATGTCGCAAACTGAGGAATATACAAACAACAAATATCAAACACAATATCGAAAAATAAAACGAAAATGGGGCTTCTGTCAAACGAATCGCAAGAAATTTGAAAAAAATATTCGCTGTGGAAGGCTACCAAAGTTCAGCGTGGCGTAACAACGCTTCTTCGTCCCACAGAAGCCCCATCGTATGTTGTATCAGTCTGTCGGGAAAATAATGAGCATGTCGCAGCTAAAGTCGCATAGCCGCCGAGAAAATGAATTGTATCGCAACAAAATTAAACTGCTTTTCACTTCAGCGGCACAATAGACGGAGCGACATAGTGCTCATTATTTTCCCGACAGACTGATAAAATACGATAAAATGTATAGAAACAAGTGGAAATCTCCGTTAAAGCCGTGGAATGAAAATAAATACAACGTCGAAAAATAAGTGAGATTTAACGTAGATGTACGAGTTAACAAAATATATAGGTTACGATACAATACAGAATACTATTCAGAAAGTCTTGACATGCATATGTCATCCAATATCGCATATTTTTCAAGTACTAAAAATGCACACATGTCTGCACATAGAACAGTGAATTTTTTCAGATTGTCGGGAAAATAATGAGCACTCTGTCGCATCAAATATCGCATCGCCGCCGAGGAAATGAATTGTGTCGAGGCAAAATCAGATGGCATTTCATTTTCGTGACGAGGTTGCCGCAGCAACATTCCGCTCATTATTTTTCCGACAAATTGAAATCAGAGACTATCGGTCTGTCGAAAAAATAATGTGGGTTTGTCGAAGCACAGTGTCTTGCCTCGTTGCAGTCTTAAAATCCCCAGCCGCGGTTAGTCGTCGCAAAGCGATAATGGGAGATTCCAAAGCGCCAAAAATATACAGGGTGCGGCAATTTTTCGGCCGGATTTGAATTGGCTATAACTTTTTTAGTTTTTATCCGAATGTTAAAATTCTTTTTTTCCTTGAATCCCCAGACAACCCCATTTTGTTTAATACCAAATATGTTACATATACAGGGACCTAGTTCATAGTTATTGGCATTTCGGTCGTTTTCTATGTTTTTTCGGCGTGTGTGAAAATCGCCAGAAAAAATGACTTTTTTTACGAATTTTGTCGTAAAAAGTTTCATGCCGGTTCATGCCATGGAGAATACCGTTTCCACAAAAAATCAGCTATCTCCGCACAAAACTAGCGAAGATATAGCAAAAAAGTTTTTCTGTGTGACCACTCATGTGCCCTCCTGACCGCAAAGAATCGTTGAATATCTTGGACGCCCCTGAAAGGTGCAGGCTGAAACTTTCAGGAATTGATGTGTGGCCTATGTCCGGCCCATGTGCAAAATTTAAAGTAAATCTGAGAGTCGCATTAGGGGTAATTCCATTGTCAGCTATGAAAATTAGAGCTTTTTCTTTGTCTCGAATTTTTACTGTAGTCTAATGAACTGGTATAACATATTTGGTATTAAACAAAATGGGGTTGTCTATGGATTCAGAGAAAAAAAGAATTTTAACATTTGCCCAAAAACTAAAAAAGTTATGGCCAATTAAATTCCGGCCGAAAAATTGCCGCACCCTGTACATTATTTTCCCGACAGACTGATAAATCGATATTTCTCTTTATAAATGATTTCTTCCGTTATGATCCTTTATTTACAAGCGCCCTTTCTCCCTTTCACTTCAATTTTTTTCAAAAAACATGTTCCAAAAAAGACTTCCGAAAATAGGACATTACTCCAGCAGGATGAATAAATTTGGAGGATTAATTTAGAAGCCTAAGGGTTTCAAGGATTTCCGGCAACAGTAAAAAAGGAAACAATGAGGAAGTAGATCAAATTCTTTTTCACTTCAGCGGCGCATTCAACGCAGCGACATTTTGCTCATTATTTTCCCGACAAACAGATATTTCTGCCCTGCCGATTTTTGTCGTTTTCAGAGCAACTTTGCGGCGACGACAGCACAGTTCAAGGACATGTCAAGACTTTCTGACCCACCTAGTACAACAAAACTCTTCTGTTTCACGATTCAGGACGAAAGGTCGTCCATCGTACACAAGTTTTGCTGACAAATAAAGAAACAAAAATAAGAAATACTCACAACAAAAAAAAATCGAAAAAATATTGAGTGAAGAGCACTGTAGTGGCAAGAAAACACAACCAACATAATCAGAGAGGCATATTCACACACCGTGTTCAGTCAAGTGCTGTGTCAAAACTTTTCCGTTACAAAGTAACCTGAAAAAGGCAGGTTAATCCTACAAGGGAAGTGCCCCAAGTGCAACACTTAGATTCTCTTCAAATTTTGCACACACCTCAGACATGGGCTACATATAAAAAAAGGTAGCACAGATAACCTTCTCCCAATACAAACATCATCAATTTTCTCGAAAAAAATAAGAATTGCATCACATTTTGCACGGCAAAGCAAACACACAACAATTTTACACTCTTCATATTGCAAAAATCCAAAAATAAAAACAATACCCGAGACGTATATTAACCATGTTTATTATATTAAAAATAGGAGTGAATGCGAAAAATACAATGACTGTAAATAAGTGTAATGTGTACAGTGAAGGTAAAGCCGAACCGAAAAGCGGTAAAAATCTCGTTGTAAGATCATGAAGCAAACTTTTTTGGAATTTGATTATTTCTCGGGGAATATACAAATATAAGAAGCTAGGTTGTTAAAAGTGGCGTACAATGGTCGGGAAATTGTAAACTAAGGTAAATAGTAACCCAGAGGATTTTTTAGCATCACAATTTCCTAAAAAAACCGTTGAAACAAAATGCCAAGGAGATTTTGGGTCCCACCACGAAAACTTGAAGTGTTCGAAAATTGGCGGGAAAAGGCTGGGATGACAAAATGCTAAAGGGGACTGAACAAATATATCCAAAAAAGGGCAATTTTGATAACTTAGGCCACAAATAATATCAAAATTGGGAGAATCCGTTTTAGTTTCCCTAAAATACGGACTTTTGCACTTTTCTTCCGACCCGTCCATGGGATTCATCAACTCGTTGTAGCTAGTCGCTCAAAGTCGCTTTTCCATCATTTCCACCATAGTCTAGTCATTTAATGCGACATTATCTTATTAAAAATCGCAGGAATTGGAGCCGTTCATCTCCGAATCGATCAGCCGGCATTTCTGCGGCGATTGCCGTGACGGTGGGGCCGGAGGCGGGCCATGAGGTGGACTATCCGATACTACAACCCTCTGGGCGTACACTAGACCCGCGCTTTGTTGTCGGTGAACGGAGGGCTTTCGGTCGGGGAGGGCGGACGCTGAAGCAGCCTTGCCCGCGAACCTCGCCGGATTATTGGTGCAGGCGCTCAACGGCGGTCGATTCGCTCGACCCGCCATCTCGAGTCGGTTTGTCAGTTCGGTTACACTCCGCTGAGGCAAGAGTTTTCCGGTCGGGACCATTACTGGGTTGCTGGACCGACTTTTCTGATGACTATATCCATCCGGCTCAACCCGGCGCCCAATCGAGAATTCGGCCGTCTTCAGCGAGCCGCCTCGTTGAATCCCCGGCCTGATCGAAGCTCTGGCCAGCTCCGCAGTCATTGACTCTTCGCCGAGCGTGTCCAGCGAGTAGGAGCGGGCGGCCATCGCCGCCGAAATCGACGACAGCATTGTGGAGAAGGTGGTTGTGTCCGGCTTGGAGGAATCTACAAAACACGGCCATACCACAAATCAAGCAAAATACAAAGATGTTACAAAATTAAAGAAAAAAGTTTCGCAAAAACGGGGTTGTTGAGATTACTGTTGGACGAGGTACGGTAGTCTATGGGTAAAATACGCGTCTAAAAAAGTTTCGGTTGACACTCAAAAGCTTCTAAAAGCAAAAAAAAGCGTCCAAACTAGTCAAAATTACACTAGTTTTCCCTAGGGTTACTGTAATTTTCTTACGGTAAGTAGAGTTAATTTAAGCAAATTACAGTAACTCAAATTACAAAAAATCGTCTCAGAAATTGCTATGATGGCTTTCACCATCTAAAAAATCCAAATTTATAAATTTCGGATTACTGTAACAAAATTACAGTAACCCAATGGTTACTGTAGAATGTCACGGTAGTCTAAATTATTAAAATCATCTACAAAAGGACTGTATGAAGCTCTGCCTTCTAAAAAATTCAAATTTATAAATTTCGAGGTTACTGTAACAAAATTACAGTAACCCAAAATATTACTGTAGAAAGTTACAGTAACCCAAAAAATTCTCAGGAACCTCTAGAAAGCTATAAATCCTCAAAAACAAAAAAATAACGTTTCTATTTCCTACCATAGTAAAACTACAGTACCCTCAACTCGCCTACCGTAACCCACGGCTACAGTACCCTCAACAACCAAGAAAAGTGCAAAAAACCAACGAAAGGACGGAAAATAGACATGCATCGCTACTACCACCATTTCCACCATTCTCAACCTTCACAAATTACAGTAACCAAAAGCAACAGCTACAGTACGAAACAAAATCGGATTTTTTTTGGAAAAAACACAAAGAAAGGGGTAAAGCGCAAAACGTTGAAGGCCAAGCAAAGCACAGGACTCTCGACCATCACCATTCACAACTACTGCTACTAGTTAAACTTCTTACAATCACAAAAAAGTTTAAAAAAAGTCGCGAGAAATTGGGAATTTTCGACCTAAAACTACTCGTTAACCGCTGTGCAGCACATTTTTGCGCTCTATAAGTGCTGTTATTACTATACATTTACCTTCACCTTCAAAATGAAAGTCGATTTTTTGCACTTTTTTCCAAATTTTTCAAAATTTCGACAAAAATTTTGAAACTTTCAAAACTCACTTGACGGATATTGAAAAGTGAAGTTCCAGTCGTCGTCCACATGCAGTGTTCGGCCGGTGATTCGCGCGTAGAACTCGTAGCACTCGCGCGGAAACAGATTCGTACAGCCAAAGGACTTAATTATGGTGGAGATGACCTGAGAGGCCAGTTTGAACCTCATCACGTCTTCCAGTTTGGCCTGAAAATATTTTATTTTACTCCAGAACGGACTATACGGGCTTTACAGTTTTAATTTTGGTCAGTTTTAAGGCAAATTTCAAAAAAAAAATTTTTTATTTTTTTGCACAGTGCAGCCAAAAATTTTTTTTTGCACTGTGCAGTAAAAGAGAAAAAATTAAAGACCCATATTTCACCCAAAAAATAACTTTTTCAATGACTTTTTCTAATTATTCAAAATTTTCCGCACAGTGCAAAAATCCAAAAACTGCACTGTGCAAGAATTTTCTAATTTTTTGCATTGTGCCTCCCAAAAATTTCGAATCTCAAAAATAAATTTGCTCATCGATTTTCTGCCGTATTTTACCTTCTCAGTAATTTTTACAAACTTTTCGACCCGCTTTCGGCGATATACGGAGGCTTTGAAATTTCCGACTGCACTGTGCAGTCAAAGAAAATTTGCACTGTGCAAAAACAAAAAATCGAAAAAGCCAAAAAATCAATTTCAGCTTACCCTCTGTCCATCATGAATGCAGGTGTGGAACAGCGAGGGTGCCACGCTGATTCCGATGGCGTCGGCGCTCATCCTCGTGTTGAAAGTTTCGGCGTTGTCGGCGATGATTCGAAACGTGCCGAACAAAAGGACCAACAAATGCTGGGAGGGAATGGAAAGTGAGGAGATGGCGCGGCAAAAGATGAGGCGTTGCTGCTCCGCGTCCGGCTGTTGCATTATGCTGAAGAGGAGTTGCTCGTTCTCGGCGCCAAAAATGCCTCCGGGCAGTTTGGAGAGGAATTTCTGAAAAATGGATTTTAGCTCAAAAACAGGCAAATTTTATGGTTAAAAAGAATGTTGTTTAGCTATTTACATTTTTTATTATTAGTTTTAGCGATTCCAGCGATTTCCCGCCAAATTCAGGCTATTTGAAGTTTTCGTGGTGGGACTCAAAATTCCTTGGCATTGTGTTTAACAAGTAATTTTTGAAGAATTTGAAGCTCAAAAGCATAGAGGAACGATTTTTTAAAGTTTCCCGCCAATTTCCGGTCATTTCAGGTTTTCGTGGTGGGACCCGGAATTTTTTGGCATTGTGTTTCAGCCTTATTTTTGAGAAATTATGACTCTAGAAAAACTCTAGAAGACTACTGAACTTGTATTTTACAATTTCAAGTCCTATAAAAAATTACTTTTTACAAATTTTCAACATTTTCTCCCCGAAAACATCAATAATTCCAAACTTCGACCCACTTTTATAACACTGGCAGCCGTATAGACACTGATGTGTGATATGTTCACTAATCGTCCGTGTTGCATTATATGAGAGAGTTTGCGGACTTGGGCCTGATTCCCGGGCGCCCTCCAAATATCCTTTTTGAGGGGTCCCTCCTTGTTGACTTTGAGCAGAAGGACCAGCAATGTGGCTGGAATGTCATGACTGAACGCTTCGCTGATTGGAACACCAAATTTTACTCTGGAAATAAGGGAATTAGAAAAAATAGCTTTTTTGGAACATTTGCACTGTGCAAGAATATGTAACTTCTAATTTTCGCACTGCGCAAAAAAATTCAAAAATTTGCACTGTGCAAGATTTTCTACTGTTCGCACGGTGCAGAGAAACTTTCAAAATTTCGCACCGTGCAAAATATTTAAAATTTGCACTGTGCAACATTTTCTATTGTTCGCACGGTGCAGAAAAATTTTCAAAAATTTGCACTGTGCAAAAAAATCAAAATTTGCACCGTGCAAAAAAAATCAAAATTTCGCACCGTGCATAAAATAAGAATGTGCACCGTGCAAAATTTTCTACTGCTCGCACGGTGCAAAAAAAAAATTTAAAATTTCGCACTGTGAAAAAAATTTCGAAATTTGCACTGTGCAACATTTTCTAGTGTTCGCACGGTGCAGAAAAATTTTCAAAAATTTGCACTGTGCAAAAAAATTCAAAAATTGCACCGTGCAAAAAACTCAAAACTCCACACTGTGCAAAAACTCCTCAAAACCAAGAAAATCGCCTCTTCCCAGACGCACTCACTTTTCGATACGGCCGCGGTAGCGGTGATGAAGGTCGTCGGTTCCACAGATGACCATTCCGTATGTCGCGACGGTCATGTCCGGCAGGGTGTGGCGGCGGACGTAGAGCGACGCTTCGGAGGGGGCTTGCGACTCCTCCTCGGGCTCGGCGACGTCGCGGTGTTTGCGGCGCTTCCTGTCGCGGCGTTTATGCGATTTTTTGCGAGGCTCGGGCGGCGGCGGGATAGGGGTGGATGGGGCGGGCGGGGAGGGCGTGGGACAGAGATTGGAGAGGGTCTTGACCAGCGATTCGACCGTTTGCTGCAGGGTCTTGTCGAGTTTTAATGAGAGCCTGGAATGGGGGGAAGATTAACTTGAAAGCAGAAAATGGATAAAATTGGGTGAAAATAGTCAAAAATGGGGGAAAAATCGCTTAAAAAAATTGGTGAAAAGCTCTGAAAATGTTATTTGGAGCAATTTCTGATACTTTTTGAAGGGTTTTTCATCAATTTTATTTTTTGAAAATCTCAAAAAAATCGATAAAATCGCTCAAAAATCGCTGAATAGTCCTGAAAATGTCATTTCGAGCGATTTCCCATATTTTTCAAAGATTTTTTCATTAATTTTATTTTTCAAAAATCCCAAAAAATCGAAAAAATCGCTCAAAAAATTGGTGAAAGGCTCTGAAAATCTTGTTTGGAGCAATTTCTGGTACTTTTTGAAGGTTTTTTCATCATTTTTTTTTTAAAATTCCCAAAAAATCGCAAAAATTCGCTCAAAAAAAATTGCTGAATAGTCCAGAAAATGTCATTTCGAGCGATTTCTGATACTTTTCAAAACTTTTTTCATCAATTTTATTTTTCAAAAATTCCAAAAAATGGAAAAAATGGCTTAAAAAATTGGTGAAAAGCTCTGAAAAAAATATTTGGAGCGATTTCCCATACCTTTCAAAGCTTTTTTCATCATTTTTTTTTTTAAAATTCCCAAAAAATCGCAAAAATTCGCTCAAAAAAAAATTGCTGAATAGTCCTGAAAATGTTATTTGGAGCGATTTCTCACATTTTTCAAAGCTTTTTTCATCAATTTTATTTTTCAAAAATCCCAAAAAATCACAAGAATTCGCTCAAAATATTATACCAACCCCCTCAAGCAACCCCAGAAACCTTTTTTTTACTTCAACAATCCTTCTAGAACATGAAATTCCAAATCTTTTGTTTGTTTTCAGAATTTTCCGGCAATCAGTGAAAGGTGAAAACAACCAATGGAATCAAAAAATGGACCCTTTGCAGCGACAGAGAAGCGAGCAGAAGACGTTGCCCAAGAGATCACTGATCCCTCTCGCCGAATTCAAGCCAATTTTTTCATTTTTCTGCTGTATTGCGCGAGGAATTTAATCATTGTTTTGGTCAGTGATTTGGGAGCTTTGTAATTTTCGGAGCAGAAAAATTTTGTCGCAGAATTTTGTTGAAATTTGCACTATGAACTGCGCCAAAATTTTCCAAAATTTTTTTTTGATTTTTCGGATTTTCAGCGATTTTTGAGACGAAAAAATTTTGTCGCAGAATTTTGTTGAAATTTGCACTACGAACTGCGACAAAATTTTCAAAAAAAAATTTTTTCGATTTTTCGGATTTTCAGCGATTTTCGAGACGAAAAAATTTTGTCGCAGAATTTAGTTGAAATTTGCACTATGAGTAGCGACAAATTTTGCAAAAATTTTTTTTTCGATTTTTCGATTTTTTTGCGATTTTTGAGACGAAAAATTTTTGTCGCTAAACATAGTTGAAATTTGCCCTATGACCCGCGACAACTTACTCTTGCTCGAGGTGGCTGGCCCCGACGGTGGGGGTGGTGAGCGGTTGGCGGGTTGCTGCGAGAGCCGTCGATGGAAGACGTGACTCAAAAACAAGTTGAATGACCGCTTCTTGGCCGGTGGATTCGGAGCTGAAATTGGGTTGGGTTATGAACATAAAGGGGGGTGCAGTACGTGAGAAATGTGCGATGGGAGGCACCTTTTTGCGGCGTTGGGTGGTCCTGGGTGGTGCCGGGGGCCGGTGGCTGGTCGGGTTGCTCGTGGAAGTCGCTGAGGCGCCGGTATTCGGCCTGACTTTGCGGCGCGACTTCGAACTTTACGTCGACGTTGACTTCTTGGGGCCCTGATGAGTCCGCGACGCACTCCGCTTCGTCGTCGATGAACCGCTCTGGCAGTGAGGGCCGGTTTCGTTGGTTGGGGTCGGGCCGGGCCGATCTCTCATCCCCCGTCAGTCCGCAAGGGGCATTGGCACGCGGTGCGGCGCTTTGGGGCTGTTGGGCGGAGACGGAGCTCTTGCGGACTGAAAACCCCGGTTATTAACGGATATTAATCGCTACTGTCTCATTTACAGACCATCCGGATACTTTTTCTAAGCAATGAACACGTATTCTCTGCGTATTTTACCATTCGTCCCAACCCGGACTCGAACTCGCGCCAATCCCCGCCGTTGCTTAACTTGCCAGATCGGACGGAAAACACACTGCAATAAACTAACTTTGGCGCCCTTTCTTTTATCGGTGATTTGGAAAGGAGGACAAATTGGCGGAGTGGTAACGCGTTATCCCGTCCGATCATGCAAGTGAAGCAACGGTCTGGTTGGTTTGCGGGTTCGATACCGACTGTGAGATTTTGTAAAATACGATATTTTTTTTATTTCATGGTTATACAAAATCTAAAAATCGGGATTGAAACAAATTTTGAAGAGTTCTATCCTTATTTTATAACAAAAAAAATTTTTTTATTCTTTTTTTCAAAATTTTAACCCGTCTATACCCCTTCTGACTTTCTAAAACTTTTGAATTCTGAGACCGAAAACACCTCGTTTATCTTCTTTTTTTTGCCGCGCGGATCATGAAAAGTTCAAAAACAGAGACTAATCTGTCAAAAAAGGACAGTCAAAAGAGTCTTCAAAACAACTAAAAAAATTCAAAATTCCGCCAAAAAAATTTAAAAATATAGTTTAAAAATACCATATTCGACAAAAAAAAAATAATATGCAAATTTTAGGAAAATCAAAAAAAAATTTTTTTTTTTATTTTCATAAATTCGAAAAAGTTGATTTCTTTTAGCCTTTTTAGACGTTTTTCACGTATTTTTTTATTTTTAAAAGAGTAAAATTTTAAAAATTTTGCATAAATTTAAAAAAATTGCATAAATTCAAAAAAATTTACATAATTTTCAAAAAATTTCAAAATTTTCGAACCGCAAAATTTACCTTGTTTTTCGAAGCGATGCGACGCTGCGCCCTCGTGGATGCCGCTGGGTTGTGCAGTGTGCTCTTTGATGCGACGAACACGTTCCTTGGCGCCTTGCTGGTGCCGCGACTGATCGCGTTTGCCGGCGGATTCACCTGCAAATATTGGGATGAACTCGCCGCAAATGGAAGAATATTTGATATCCGAGATTTTAAAAGTAAATAAACGCAAAAAATAAACCAAATAAAAGCAAAAAAATGTTTGAAAAAATTTCAAAAAAATCAGATTTTTCATCAAAAAAAAGGGGAAAATAAGATAAAATCGGTTAATAAAACGTATTTTTCGGAGTAGATATGCCATGATGATACAGAAGAGACCATCAAAATTTATCGTGAGCTCCAGAAACTTCAACAGAAGCTCATAAAAATACCGAAAATACTCAAAAAATAAAAATTTTTGCCAAATTTTTGAAAATTTTTGTCAAAAAAGTTTTAAAATCTCCAAAATACGACGTGAAAATGGCTGTATTTTATAGCCAGATTATTTTTAACGCTAAATTCTACCGCGAACCATCGTATTTTAAAAGCAAAATTTGGTTTTTCGAAGAAAAAAATTAAAAAATCCCAAGATTTTAGGTTTTTTCCAAATTTTTATCGATTTTTATAAATTTTCAAGAAAAAATCAAATTTTTTTTGCAGTAGAAGTATACTAGACACTATGAAAAGTCTATATAAGTGACAAATTTAGCAGTTGTCTTATAAAATTCCTTGAAAAATAAAGCTTTTCCGCCAAAAATCATCAAAAATCTGCATTTGTAAATTTATTTCCGCATATTTGCTTGTAAAGTCGCCGCAAAGTCTGTCAACCATCTCTTCAATCATCCCCATCACCCTTGAGAACCCATAAGAAGTAGTTCTTACCCCATCTCAAGGCGTATTATCATTGAAAATTACAACATTTGAGGGGAAGACCAAGAGAATAGTAGGATGTGAATTTTATATCAAAAGAATGTTGATGTCAATGCGATCTCTGCTGCAGAATGTTGATTGACGAAGGGGAAAATGTGGTTTCACATCCGGGAAGTGGAATTTAATTGTAGTTTTAGTTTTCAAAAAAAATTTAAAGAAATGAAAAAAAAAATTTTTTTTGAATTTTGACTTGAAATTAACTCTAGATATTACTAGTATGATAAAGAATATTTCTACAAAAAATCTATTTTTTCCAGAGGGTATTTACAAAGTTATTGGCAAAAAACTTTTTTTCTCTAAACTCTCCTCATTTTACGGGCTCTCTCGCAAAAGATTGTGGAATAACGCAGCTCTCTGTATAGCGATCGAGCTGAAACTTTGAGTGATTGATGTCTGGACTATATAGAGTATATAGGAGAAACATTAAGAAAATCCGAAAATTCTGAATAGCTGAAAAATGAGATTTTTTGCCAAAACTATTATAGCTCATAGAGGAAGTACTCCAAGTGCGACGTTCAGATTTTGATGACGCTTGGCACATATTTAGAATATTTTTTTCTAACATAAGATATATGCGAGAGTCCTAGCTCGCGCTTTGCCGAAAAAACCGAGATTTTTAGATCGAAAGTCGGCGAAAATTTAGGACTTTTTGCCGCATTTCGGCACGAAAAGTTTCATGCCTATTTCAACCGTAAAGGATAATGTTTCTGCAAAAAATCAAATTTTTCCGCACGAAACTGCCAAAGTTAAGGCCAAAAAGCGTTTTTCTCTCTGAGCGCTCTCCACGTTTAGCGTGCTCGCTCGGCGGCAAAGATCGTTCGATATCTCGGCGGCGCCCGCAAAGCGCGAGCTAAAACTTTCAGGAATTGATATTTAGTCCATACCCGACGTGTGTGCAAAATTTAAAGAAAATCTGAGCGTCGCACTAGGAGTACTTCCCTTGTCAAATTAAAAAAATCAGATTTTTTACATAATTTTTTTTGCCTTCAAAATTTTTTTCCAATTTTTTGGAGTGTATTTTTCAATTTTTCGGGAAAAATTAACACCTAAAAAACAAAAAATTTTATAAAATTTGTATTATATATTTTCACTTTTTCCCGCCTCAATATAATATAAATCACTGCATTGTGCCGGAAGCGCAGTAAACCCCCGGAATTTGTAGCCGGAACAACCAAAATTGTTCGAAAGCAAATTCAAAAGTTCAAAAAAAGAATTTACCGAGAGTTTTGAGTGCGTTCCTAACCCCATTTCTCCCCACCCCAAAAACGAATGGTTATATGCGTCTTCACAATAAGGTAAAATTCAAATCAAGGTCGTGGGTCGATTAAATGGCGCAATAAATATTTTTTTGGGAGGGTCGACGAATAAACGATGTTTTTTTAACGCGATTTGAGGGATGCTGAAGAATAAGCGATGAGAAAATAAAGACGGTGGGAGACGAACAAAGGCGAGTAGATTGTAGGTTGGGGCAGCACAAAGGCTGTACAGCGGCTAAATGCTGATTAAAGGCCCTCGGCAAAGTTTTGGCCAAAATATTCGCTATTTTTGGCCGAAAAATCTTATTTATGAGGCAAAAACGACATGTTTGGCCTGCAAATTTTGGCTGAAATTTTCTTAAAATTTTTTTTTGGAGCTGTTATAGGCGTATGTAAGATATTCCCCTATTTGTAAAAAAAATCACGATTTTTAGCAAAAAATCGAAAAAAAATAAAAAATTTTTTTTGATTTATGGCTTGAAAATACTACGATTGACTACCAGTGCCTAGAGCAGTATTTCCACAAAAAATCAAGTTTTTCCAGTGAGTATTCAAAAAGTTATTGGCCAAAAACTTTTTCCGACCGGCTTTGTTACCCCCGCCGAGACCGTTGAATATCTCGGCTGCGAATGTAAAGGGAAAACCAAAATTTTTACAGATTAGTGTGTGGTTACTGCAGAGAACAGCTACCGAATTTAAAGTGTATCTAAGAATTGGACGTTGAGAAATTTTATATTTTGTTATAGTGGTAAAAAATCAAATTCCGTTGAAAAAATATTAATTTTTACAGAAATTGCGAGTCGTATTTTACAAAATCAACTGATAGACACCAATAGGAATTAATCTCGAATTATATGAAGCCCTTATATAACGATCTTTCTATCTAAATCTAGCTTTACAGCTATTTTTTCACCAAAATCCCTCTAAATTTCCTCAAAAAATCAATAAACCTGTAAATAAGCTCGAAAATTCTTCAAACGACCTCCAATATCGGCATCAACGAACATTGTAAGACCTCTGCAACCTCTTCAGAGGCATTCCCCGCATTCCAGAACTCACAAACTTGACGCCCGATATCACAATTGATAAGCAATTTGCGCACGCCTTCAGTTGATAACAAAAAACATTCAGGTGGAGGGCGAAAAAAGCGACGACCGAACGGAAACACTTCATACAGCGTTTCCAAACTTTTCTCTCTCTCTCTCCATAAAAGGAAGAGAGATCGGGAAGAATGGGCGATCGGAAAGTCAAAGGGATCTTTTTTTGGGGGGAGCGAAAACTCAGCCAATTTTTGGTCGGAAGCAGAACACACGGAAGGGAATGGTGGGGGGAAATGGAATTAATATGGTAATTACAATATTGGGAAGTGGTATTTTTACAATTCATGAGAATTGGAATTTTGAAATTTGAAGAAAACAGGAGTTGAGGAAAGGAGTCAAAAAAGTGAGGAAAAAAGGTTAATGCCCTTAGGCAAAGAGAGGGAAAATGCATGTAGTAGTAGCAGAAATGTCTGTGATACCACAGAATTCAATGTCAACATATCTGTTAGCTAAAATTTGCAATCAAATCCCATTTTTTTGAAATTTCCCGTTTTTAAAAAAAAATTTGAAAAATCGCTGAAATGGCGCGATCGCCTTAGGGCAAAAAGTCAAAAAGACATCAAATGGCGTGAAATGGCATGCACTACCATGGCATCGAATATCAAGTAATTTTTACAGCGTATTTGCAACCTTTTCCACATTTCAATTTTTGGCGGGAAATTTGAATTTTCAAATTTTTTTACATTGTTAAAGCAAATTTTCTGGCCCTAGAGTAATCACAGACACTCCAGAAATATTCTCGAATATTTTTTACAATACTACTTACTTTTTATTACAACATTTTTAACAAATAATTTCAAAGTCATCAAAAAAATCTCGGAGATCCAAAAACCCCAAAAATCCCCCACCAAAATCCAGGTAGCCGAGTGAAGATGGTCGCGAAGCGAAGAGCAAAAACCATCTTTCCGAGCGCCATATGCAAATGAACTTTAAGACGCCTCGCATTAAGTGGATAATAAAGCGCCCTAATTTCCGAATTCCCATCGTTATATCGCGATCGTACCAGGTTGGGGGGCTCAGACATGTGCGAATGCGGGGCAGACTGTATGGTTTTAAAGTTTATGGGGCAGACAGTATGAAACATTCGGATATTACAAGGGAACTGTGTTTCTGGGGCAAACCTAGGATTTTTTGACGAAAAAAATTGTTTTAGAGGTAAAATACTGTAATAAGTTGTTTAAGCGGGCATTTATTGGAGACACTGTTGTAGATTTTGTATCCTAAAGGAATGGCACTGCCATGTTACTCTCTTTTTGTAGCTCTCTGGGCTAAAAATACAAAAATTTTCGGATTTCTTGGGAAATGTTTTGTTTTAGGACTTTTAAGGAATAAAGCATAACTGTAATAGCAATAAAATATGATTTTTCATGGACTGACATCATTTAAAAATACAAAATGAAACTTTCTTCAAACCCGGCATCGAACCCGCAACATTCCGACTAGCACTCGTAACTCACTGCCACTATACCACAACAACACTTTGAATTAAATTACCGTATTTGGCTAAAAATTCATAAATAATAATATTTTTACTATCTAAAAACGATCTTAAGCCCAATCTAACCCCTTCGTGACCTCAATAAAATCGTCAATTCGCCACTTTGACCTCACTTCCCTTCGATTTTCGAAATAATTTCCCGCCGCTAACCGAATCGCAGCTGTCTGCTAATTACGGTGAGTTCGCGCACAGGTGGCCATAAAGAACCGGTGCTGGCTATATACGGCGCCGTACTTGGAAACCCTCAGGCATTCCGCGGAATCAGGTGTCGCGGTTTCGAAACCCCGCTGTTAAAACCACACCGGAAGTATAGGGTAATTCGGAATTAGCGGCCCTACCGTACGGGAATGCTGTTTTTAGCACCATCGCGGCTTCGAATCGTCAATTATTCATGGCCTTCTGTGTTTGGGAACTTGTAGATTGCACTGTGCGGTGTTCAAAACGGAAAATTGCGGACTGCACTGTGCGTCAGAGAAAAAGTCCGCACGGTGCAAAAAAATCCAAAATTTCGCACAGTGCAAAAAATTCAAGGATTTCGCACTGTGCAAAACTTAAAAAATTTTTGCACATGCAAAAAAATTCCGAAAAATCGCACAGTGCAAGAATTAAAAAAAATTTGCACAGTGTAAAAATTCAAAAATTTCGCACAGTGCAAAAATTAAAAAAAATTTGCACGGTGCAAAAAATCCAAAATTTCGCACAGTGCAAAAAATAAAAAAATTGCACGGTGCAAAAAGTTCAAAAATTCCGCACGGTGCAAAAAATTCCAAAATTTCGCACAGTACAAAAATTTCAAAATTTTGTACGATGCAAAAATAGGAGACAATACAATTTTGAAACCTGGTATTGCACATTTTCACAAAGCACATTCCATTAACAAACAGGTGCATTTCCCTGAAAGGCCAGTCACCTTTATCTTACAATATAATTCTCAAGAGGCTTGTTTTCAACTCCCTAAAGTGGGGAATACAAAACATTACCGTAACCAATGACGAATGAAAAATGAAAAATTAGTCTTATTTTGAAGTTCTAGCGATTTTTTCTCATTCTTATAAGCGATGAAAATGTCGAAAATCGCTGAATGAATCCGAGGCGACAAAGTTGCCCAAAAGGAAATGAGTCAACCGAAGAAAGTTTTGAATTCAATGATGAATGAAGGTTTCGGAAACATGACTCAATCCAAAGACAAACCAAAAACGTGGAGTCGAAGAAAGGGGATCGGAAAAGTGGATTATAAGTCTTCGAAAAAAGGCTTATAAAGAGTGGAAAAGCTCAAAAAAGGGACATTTTTTGGATTTTATAAAGATAAAAATAATTTTTAGATTGAGAAATGTAGCTAACAAAAATTTTAGAAGCTAAAAATACCATCTAAACCAAGAAAATTCACAAAATTCCGCGTTCCCCTGACGAACAGGGTTTTCGTGGTGGGACCCAAGGTATCAATTTTTTACTGTTGAATTGCAATATCAAGCTTTTTTAAGTAAGCTAAGGCCCTTTGAAAATCACATTAAAGAAGTTTTTATATTTTTTAGCAAAATTCAGGTTTTCGTGGTGGGACCCAAAAGTTGATTTTTTTTAAATTTCGAAAAAGATAAAACAATTATTTTTAAACGTCCAGCACGTCTAAAATGTAGATAAATTTCCCTGTAGGTAAATTTCAGAGAACCTAAAAACTTATTGAGATTTTTAAAAATTCAAATTTCAATTTTCCCGCCAAAAATCAAAAATCGCAAAACCAAAAAAATTAGACTAAAAATCAGTTATCCATGTTTTCCAGGTCTCACATAACTCACCAAATCCCACACTACATTATTCATAGCCAGCTAATCTGCATATTTTCGAGATTTTCCTCATTACAGCGCCCACTAATCTGACCCTCCGGGCTCGCCGAGAAATGGAGTTCATGTCTTAATGAAAACAAAAATACATATATCCCATCTCGAGCCCGGCGAGTGCGACGGAGATAATTTTCAAGTGGTCTTGATCCGCCACCTACACACAAAATCGGGCGTATAACTTTACCCAAAACACTCGAAGAAAGAGAGAAATCTCGGAAAAAATCGGAGAAAAAAAAAAGAGTTTTGTAGGGTGACTCACGCCACACAAGAGATCGTGGAAGTGAGTAGTAGTAATTTAGCTGCTCCACGTTTCTGTAAACACGTCGTTTAGGGGGAAAAATGTAAAAAAATGAGAAAAAATAGCGATTTTTGGGGAGAAACTGAAAATTTTAAATGAAAAATAGGAACAATACTGGAAAATACGATGATATTTGGCCTGTATTAGTAGTAGCTCGCATATAAAGGTATGTCTTCCTAGGGAAAATCGGTATACTCCGGGGAAAACGGCAAAAATATGGAAAAATCATAGTTTTCCAGCGAATTTTTGTAAAAACTGCTAAAAATCATAAACTATTTAGATGATTTTGGCTACTACAATACAAAAGACATAGTAATTTAATATTTACAACGGTCTACAAGGTCAGACGTTTTTGATTTTGACCTTTTCTTCCAACGGGAACCGAACTTTGGTCAAATTTAAAATTTTTGCTTACTATCCACTGCGCCATGCAGACACACTTGTAAAAACGGGATTTTCCAAGTCTTTGGTCCCTATAGATGCGCTGTGCAAAGTTTTAGCAACAACTGCCGCATCAAATTTTCGTATCGACACTTGCAACCAACCCCTCTCCGCTTCCTGAATCCTCCAAAAAAAAAAGAGATTTAGTAGTGAGTAATTGTACGGAAAAGACTGTTATATTCGCATGGGGAGGAGAAGGAAATGCGAGGAAAACGATCGGACGCCCATAAATCGCCTCCAAACAAGCGTCTCGTCTACGGAGCGCTCAAGGTTTCGGGTTTAGGGAAATGGGAGAATATTATACCTGAAACGTCGATTTCCCTGCACAGATAACGCGGCAAATTCGGGGAATATGCAAATTCGGCGAGTTTATGCTTTGTTGTTTTCGATTTTGAAGACAACAAGGAAGTGTCGCAATAGCGCAATGGGAATAAGGCAAGTTGAAAAAGATTTGGGTCAAGTTCGAGTCCCTGTGGAAAGAGGCTAATTTTTAGATGTAATCAAAGAAGGATTTTGTAAAATACGGGCGTCCATAGACGTATGTCTTTGATGGAGTGACTTAGATGTCAAAAAATAAGAAATCTTAAGGTGAAATTTAAGAAAAAGCCATAAAATACACAGAATCTTTTAGAAATTTGAAAAATTCACGGGTTCGTTATAAAAAACATCATAATTAGACGTGAAATTTATAAAATTAACATTTTTAACATACATAGATTACAAGGCAATGTTAAAACCCAGCGAAAAATTGTCGAAAAAATAATCGAAAAGATCTAAAAACGCCATAAAAATCCGGGTTTGGCTTACAAACCCGGCTGTACTTGAAAATTAAGTGTAATATACGAGGGCAAATGCATAGTGAGCCCTAGAAAATACAAATGCAACATCTTCAGCCCCCAAGAATCCCATAATTCTGTCCAAAGTCCATGCGGAATCCCCGATTCCCGCATAAAATCCGGTAGCGCCGGCGGCGGCCGCCCCACACGTGCCCCAACCCCAACTCAAAACCCATTGTAGTGGGCATTAAAAATAGTAAAAACTCTTGCGGGGCCGTGCAAACGGGCGAGGAAAATGGGAATTCTTTGCGTTTTTTCCCGGGGCTCCGTAAAAGTCCAAATGCCTCCGAGTTAAGCCGCCGCCGCCACCACCGCCGCCTCTCCGGAGAGCCCAACGCAGCCGAAGCCGAAGCCGCGGCGAAGCGAGCGCTCTTCTCGGTGAGCGAGGGGCAGAGCGAGGCGCGTTGTGTGAGGCTATGTGGAGGAGGGGGGAGAGTGGGGGGGCGCGGTCCCCGGGACGCTGGAAGAACGAAGAAGAAGAAGGGAGCGCGCGCCTTCGTCGCTGCGGTCATTCGGAGGGAAGGGAATCGCCATACGGCCCCGAAACCCCCGCCACTCGCCTTCGTCCGAGCCTCGCCTGCATGCGAAACACTGTGGGCATGCAGAATGTGGGCCGAGGCGGGGGATAAACAGTAGTGGACACGGAGTAGGGGAGGGAAGACCAGGGGAATCGGGCTAGAATAGGGCTGGAATGGGGCTAAAGTGAAGAAGAATAGCCCTTGCAAGCAATTCAATGCATACAGCAGGAGACCTGAACCAGTGGCAAAAAACATACCATTTTGCATCCGGGAAGCATAAAAAATGTGGCAAAATGCTTCCCTCTCCATGTGAAAAAACTTCGTTTTGAAGGGGTTCCCTCACAAAAAGAGCGGGCGCGCTTTTGAAATCCGAGTTTTTTCACTTGGAGATGGAGGTATTTTGCCACATTTTTTATGCTTCCTGGATGCAAAATGGTACGTTTCTTGCCGCTGGATCAGGTCGCCCACTGTATTTATCAAGATGAGAGGGGAAATATTGCAGAAAACAGTGGTATATTTCATTGTGGAGATGTGGAAATCCAATGACACACTGTAATAAACAAAAGATGGGAAGAATTGGTCAAGGTGTAATGTAGGACAAAAAATTGGCGAAATACAAGTTTAAAGATCTCATAAATGAATACTTGGTGCTTAAACAACTCTACGAAAAGTCATGTAATGGCCTTTAGAGATGGTAAAATTAGGTTTTAAAACATCTGTTATTGATTTTCGTCAAAAATGATGAAGAAAATGCAAATTTTTGAGCAAAACTCCTCCGTGGCCCTACTAAAACGAGAGAAGGTCTATATTTTACAGGGTAAACACCCTGTAAGACTATTTTGTTACAATTTTTCTTGACAGTTAGCGGTTTAATCAGCCTATAGCCACCTTTTTTTGCCAAAAATCGACCGAAATAACAACATCTTTCCGTTTTACTGTAATATCTTTCTTACAGTTTAATCCACCATCGCAAAACGACCTCTGACTGCACCCATAGCCTTTGACAAAAACCTTGTGAGCAGTAGAAGTCACCTCAAATTGAATAGTCAAGAGAATAGAGCAGTAGTTGGTACGAAAATCAGCGGTAAACGATCCCCGACCAAAACAACTTTTACTTGCAAAACAGCTGAGTACACAAACAGAGCGAGCCGAGTATAGGTTTTCAAGTGCTCGCGGCCAAATCTTCTTGACCGCTGCGCTATTTTTCGATCATGCGAGGATGATATCATCTTGAAAAGGCCGATTTGAAGGGAATTTTAGTCAAATGAAGAGGGTAAAGTGAGCAAACTTGATCAGAAATGAGTCGCAAATAGCTTATGAAGAGTTGAAATGCAATTTAGAAGGCTTTACAAGGCTGTATGAATCCTGCAATTGCGTATTTTACTTTCATTTTGCAAAAAAATCAACAAAATTTTGGAAATTACTTGGAAAAAATCGATGATTTTTTTTCAAGATTTCTAAAAATTCAGGCCATAGACCGCCTTAAAATGATAAAATATTCACATCAATTTCTCTACGGAGACATATTCGATCGCTGGAGAACAAAAAACAGAAAAATAAAAGCCGTATTTTACATTTTACGACCGAAAAATTTCGTAAAAATCAGGAAAAAGATGTATAAGTTTATATCCCCATAAAATCTCAGGAAGTAAACTGATTAAAAATATATTTTCCTCAAATATTAGTAATGATGTCCTCTACTAACGTTCAAAAAATCAATGGCCTAAGGTAATTTTTCAATGAGTTATAATCAAAAATTTGAAAAGGTCAGGAATTTTCAGAAAAAGGGAAAATTTTGCAAAAACCGTTTAAAAAGTCGGTAAATCTTGCGAGTAAAGGGTGAAATACAATGAACAGGACAAAGCGTAGTACTTCATGATCTTTCTTATTGTCTACTTTAATGGCTAAATTCACTATAACCCCTTGTTTCGTACAGAATCATACAAAATCCGCGTTTCCCCGATTGAAAAGCGAAAATTCCAGGCGAAACACCGTCGCTTCGTCTCGGAAAACAGAGCCATGATTCAGCAGTGGGGAAAAATCTGCCTGACCTTTGGTCAAGCCGAAACAAATGCGTCATCCTGCAAACGAGCGATTAGAAATTTGCATACGGAAAAGGCCGAACTCGAACGTTTTTTCTTTGAGTAATCAAAATTTGTTGGAAAAATTTTTAAAACATTTTTAAGGGCTTGTAGCCTGCGTACATGAGATTTAGTAGATGAAAAGTGGATTGTAGGAGATTGAAGGTTAATTCAACATCGGATATTAATCTGTTCGGTGAATGCCCTTAGGGGATAAAAAATTGGGACCGTTTCTTTCGACAAATAATAGGTCAAGGGTTCAAAAAAAATTTTTGCATCATTGATGGTCGTATTTTACAAATTGTAACATGTTTAAAAAAATGTAAAAAATTACATTTATTTTTTTAATAAATGTAATTTTTTTATTTTTTTTTTTTTGAAAAAATTCAAAAATTCAGAAAAAAAATTGCCTGAAAAAGAATAAAAAAAATCCGGCGATATTCAAAAAAAATTTTTTTGGCCAAAATTTCACAATTTTTTCCATAAAATACAAAAAAAAATATTTCCAAAAAATCCCAAAATTCCCACACAAATTGATCAAAAATCGTTTTCCAAAACAATAAAATTCCCCACAATATTTTTTGACCTCAATTTCATAACTCTTTTATATCATCTCCACCACCTACACCCCGAAAGTCGAACAAAACCCCCGTTTTCCAGCATTATTTCTACCGTATGACGTCATAACCTACTCGATTTTTCCACCCACCCGATCACTATACAAACTTTTGCAGCTCTGTCTTATGAAAAACGAAGGGGGCTTGAGGACGAAATTCGAGTAAAAAAGTAAAAACCGAGAATGTAAAAAAACCCGAGGCGGCGGAGGGAAAAGAGAGCCAGTGGCCACAAACTGAGCTCTCTGTTTCGGGTTCATGGCCGGGGATTTTGGAAAATTTTGGAAAAAGTTTGGAATTTAGAAAAAAAATAATTTTTTGAGAAAAAAATTTTTTTGGAAAGTTTTGAAAATCAGTCAAAAAATGCAAAATTTTGGAAAAAGTTTGGAATTTACAGGGGAAGTACTCCAAGTGCGACGCTCAGATTTTGATGAAACTTGGCACAAATTTATAGAATAATCTGTTCTAAGATATATGCGAGAATCCTAGCTCGCGCTTTGCAGAAACAACCGAGATTTTTAGATCGAAAGTCGGCAAAAATTTAGGACTTTTTGCCGAATTTCGGCACGAAAAGTTTCATGCCTATTTCTACCGTAGAGGATAATGTTTTTACAAAAAACCAAATTTTTCCGCACGAAGCTGCCAAAGTTATGGCCGAAAGCGTTTTTTTTCTCTCTGACTACTCTCCACGTTTAGCGTGCTCTCTCGGCGGCAAAAATCGTTCAATATCTCGGCGGCGCCCGCAAAGCGCGAGCTAAAACTTTCAGGAATTGATATTTAGTCCATACCCGACGTGTGTGCAAAATTTAAAGGAAATCTGAGCGTCGAACTTGGAGTACTTCCCCTGTCAAATTCAAGAAATCAATTTTTTTACGTATTTTTTTTAGCCTATATAGGTCGTGTCATACTAGTCCTTGGGGAAAGCAGCCGGATTGATTTCTGGTGTCTGAACTGTGCCAAAAACGCAGAGGATGCCAGCGACAGCCAAAAAAGCCTATTGCGCGGTGCAAAAAGGAAGAAATTGCACAGCAAAATTGCACAGTGAAAAAAGCTTTTGCTTTCTCGCAGTAGGTGTTGCCGATTTCAGCCAGACGACTTTCCTGAAGGACTAGTATGAAAAAGATTTGAAAAAATTGGAAGGCCCCGCTTATTGTTAGATAAATAACTTTTGCGATCGGTAAGTTTATAGTGTCATATCGGCAAATTTATTGCTTTCAAAGTCTGAAAATTAGACACAACGCTTATAGACGGTCAAAAATTTGATTCAATCAACTTTCTAGCCTTCAAATTCAACCCAACGCTCTTGCTCAAAAATTGAGCCTTTCTTTCAAAGCGTAAAATCAAGTGCAATGCTTAGCCCGGAAGCAGTTTGAAACGATCTATCAAGACATCAAATCCCACTACGACGCTAAAGAAAGGCATGAAAATCCCGGCGCAACGCTTCTCCAAGATTCCAACTCCCAACCCAAGCCTCGCCAATCCGAGGCGCATAAAAAATGGACGTTTGGGGGCCGGGCGCAGCGGCGAGTTGCAAACGGGAATGGTTGGGAATAAAGTAATGGAAGCAAAGCGTCTATTTTTGGCTCCACCAGCACCCAATGAAGCCAATAATTCCGACACCGCCAGCGGAAGAAGAAAGAAGCGAAAAGAGCGCCGCGCCGGAGGCAACCGGCGGGGACAAGGGGGGCCCCGGACCAAATGGGTTTAATGCAAAACGCATTCTTTTCGCATTCCTCGCGGGCCATAAATCAAACCAGGGCATGGTAGAATAAGGGATTACCCCACGCCGATGTTACAATCCCAACCGATAAATCATGATCGTAGCCGGAGGGGTTTGCGGCCGGAAAGGATGGGGCGAAAGTAATGTGTTTACAAGGCAGGGATTAGATCGGGTATCGGAAAAAGGCGTGAGGTCACCAAATGCGGGCCGGAACGGTCGAGAGTTTGAGGGGTTAAGTTGGGGTGAAAGTGAGTGGAAGTTGCCAATTTTGACAGCCTTCAAAACTCCATGGAATAAATGGGAAAGGCACAGGAGAGGTTTCTAGATACAGTGACTTGATCCAGTGGCAAAAAAACGTACCATTTTGAATCCGGGAAGCATCAAAAATGTGGCAAAATGCTTCCCTCTCCAAGTGAAAAAAAAACTTTGTTTTGAAAGAGAGGGAAGCATTTTGCCACATTTTTAGTGCTTCCCGGATTCAAAATGGTACGTTTTTTCCCACTGGATCAGGTCCCTTACTGTAAATCGTGCCTAACAGAATGAACTTAGAGTGTAATAGAGCTCAAAAAAAGGTCAAAATTAGTCCATGTTTTATATTAATCATCGGTATAGCAAGATGACAAAAAGAGCGTTAGATATGATGCCTTCAGATCTGCCTCAAATTTTTTGCTGATATCAGTATGTCGAGAAAATAATGAGCCCTCTGTTGCATCGAAAATCATCATTCCTGTCGAGAAAATGAATTGCGCCGCGGCAAAATCAAATTGCTTTTCTTCTTCATCGGTTCTGCGACATTGTGCTCATTATTTTCCCGACGGACTGACATTTGTATTGCAGCACCCAGAAAAGTTAAAATTTACGGAATGGATCACTGTAGCCTACAGTAGCTAGCTA